TTAGAGTGACAAAACCCCGGGCGGGTGTACAGCTCAGTGTCCACACCGTCCTGGCCCCAGCCCTGGCTGCACGCAGGGTGCCTGGCCACCGAAGCCAGCAGCTGCATCTGGTCTCCCATGTGGGTGGCAGAGGCCCAAGCACTTGGGCCATTTTCTACTGCCTTCCTAGGCCATTAGCAGGGAGCAGCCGGGACATGAGCCGTATGGAATGCCAGCGTCCCAGGCAGCGGCTTTACCTGCTCCACCATAATGCTGGTTCCTGTTAAAGTCTTGATGTGTATCCCGGTCTTATTTCTGGGGTCACGATTGCACACACATACACACACATGATCGGCATCATATTTATCAATATGCATTAAGTTAGCCTTCAGTTTCGTTATGTGGAGTAAGCAGAGGCCTGGCTTCTCCTTCCCTGTGTACCCCTGCAGCCCCGGAGCCTTGGCTGGTGTTTTGCCTCTGGGAGAGAAGGAAGGGGCACTGTCAGGTCCTCCGTGACCTCTCTAGCAGCGCGCACAGTGTCAGTGCTGTGGGTGGAGCGGCTGTGGCGAGGAGCCCGTGTGTGGGGTGAGATGTGCTGACTCGCGCAGCCAGGCTGCAGGCCGCAGTCACCCTTCCTTCCGTGGGGCCCCAGCAGCCCTATTGCTGGGAACAAGCCCCCCGAGAAGGGCCCCAGCTGCTGCTGTGTCCCCAGGAGCTGTCTCAGGAGTCCCCAGTGCGCTGCCCCTCCTGGTTCCCCGTGGCCCTGCTGAAGGTGACCTTTCTAAGATGCCAGCCCCTGGGGGCAGCTGCCATCGGTGTCAGTGCCACTCTGACTTGGACTGGGGTGGGGTGGTGCTTTCTCCGCAACCTCGTGACAGCATCGGGCCCGTGCAGTGCCTGCCCTCAGCTGCTTTGAGAAGAGGCCAGATGGAGCCTGTTCCCCTGGAATTTTAAAATACTGACAAATAATCGTGGATATCCAAAGGTGTATACCACGTGAAGATCAGCTCTCCACGTGCATTGCGTGATGACGACCACAGTCAAATCTGTTGGAGCATCCATCACCACCGTAGCTGGCATCCGCCTGTGTAATGGGGTGGCAGTGCAGATACATACAGTCTGTTCTCTTAGAAAATTTAAAGTAATTATTTTATTTTTTTTAATTTTTTTTTATTTTTTTATTTTTCTTTTTTGACAGGCAGAGTGGACAGTGAGAGAGAGAGACAGAGAGAAAGGTCTTCCTTTGCCGTTGGTTCACCCTCCAATGGCCGCCGCGGCCGGCGCACTGCGGCCGGCGCACCGCGCTGATCTGATGGCAGGAGCCAGGAGCCAGGTGCTTTTCCTGGTCTCCCATGGGGTGCAGGGCCCAAGCACCTGGGCCATCCTCCACTGCACTCCCTGGCCACAGCAACAGAATCCGGCGCCCCGACCGGGACTAGAACCCGGTGTGCCAGCGCTGCTAGGCGGAGGATTAGCCTAGTGAGCCGTGGCGCCGGCCAGAAAATTTAAAGTAATTTTTAAAGAATTATTTATTTTATTTGAAAGTCAGAGTTACATAGAAAGAGAAGAAGAGGCAGAGAGAAAAAGAGATATCTTCCATCCGCTGGTTCATTCCACATTGGCCTCAATGGCTGGAACTGTGCCGATCCAAAGGCAGGAGCCAGGAGCTTCTTGTGGGTCTCCCACGTGGGTACAGGGCCCCAAGGTCTTGGGCTGCCTTCTACTGCTTTCCCAGGCCACAGCAGAGAGCTGGATCAGAAGTGAAACAGCTGGGACTCGAACCGGCACCCATATGGGATGCAGGTACTTCAGGCAGCAGCTTTACCCGCTATGCCACAGCACCGGCCCCTTAAAATAATTTTTAAAAAATATTTTATTTATTTATTTGAGAGATAGAGTTACAGATAGTGAGAGGGAGAGACAGGGAGAAAGGTCTTCCTTCCACTGGTTCACTCCCCCCATGGCCGCAATGGCTGGAGCTACACTGATCCGAAGCCAGGAGCCAGGAGCTTCTTCTGGGTCTCCCACGTGGGTGCAGGGGCCCAAGCACTTGGGCCATCTTCTGCTGCTTCCCCAGGCCACAGCAGAGAGCTGGATCGGAAGAGGAGCAGCTGGGACTAGAACTGGCGCCTATATGGGATGCCGGTGCTGCAGGCCGAGGATTAAGCTACTGTGCCACGATGCTGGCCCCTAAAGTAATTTTGTTAACTGTGGCCACCATACTGCTCATTACACCCCTAGAACTTATTCATTTAAAAAAGAAGTCCGAGAGTTACTCATTGTAGAGCTGAAAGTCCTTGAACCTTTATTTCCCCATCGCAGTCACACTCACTGCAGGTCCCTGGCACCCGCCGTCCTACACCCTGCTTCCAGAGGTGGTGTTTTCAGGTTGCACGTGCGAGTGAGGTCGTGCAGTCGACCCTCTAGGTCTGGCCTGTTTCGCTTAGCGCAGTGTCCTCCATCTGTGTCTGTGTTTCACGGTGACAGGATTCCCTCGGCTGAGTCGTATCCCGCTGCATGTAACGCACCATGTTTTCTTTATCTGTTCTTCTTGTACTCTTGTCTTCCAGACCATACATCCCTGCTCGGCCAGCCCAAATGCCCCCACAGGCCTAGCACGGCTGAAGGAGCCGCATCCCTGTCCCGTGGCTTTCAGCCCGTCTGAAGTTGCGTGTCTCGCTGAGATTGTTTGCACCAGGCCAGCCGTCCTCCCCTGCGGACCGAGCTCCCCGGGCTGGGGGGAAGGGAGAGGCGAATCAGGCCTGGTTTTGGTCTCCGTGATATCCCAGGGCCCAGCCTTGACCTTGGTCCATAAGAGCCACCTAGTGGTGACCCTGAGAAGGGACCACCCAGTTGTGCTTGGGGGCCAGGGGGTTACTTGATTAGGTCCAGAAGGGCAGCACATTACTTGAACCTGTGTCCAGTTCTTGTCACCTCGGACAAACCATAAAACAGTCTGGTGGAAAGTCTTCCCGCCATCCTGCTCTGTGGAGTGCTGAGGTTGGCATTGGGTGTCCAGAGGAAGGAGAGAGCAGGCTGAGCGCAGTGGGCGCAGGTGTGCCCCATGATTCTCTCTGAGTTGGCATCTGCTCATCAGACACCTTGGTGACAGCAGTGTCACTGTCTGGACCCACCAGAGTGGGGCTGGCTCTGTCCACTCCCCAGCTCTCGTTCTGTGTTCTTGAGGTGACGTGAGCTCGTGCCCATAATTATTAGTAAAGAATGTATTACTTTTTTTGTTTGTTTTTAAGGATTTATTTTATTTGAAAGAGTTACAGAGAGAGGTAGACACACACACACATACACACACACACACACACACAGACAGATCTTCCATCTGCTGATTCATTCCCCAAATGGCTGTATTGGCTGGAGCTGAGCAGATTTGTACAGCCAAAAGCTTCTCCAGGGGCCCCAGGACTTGGGCCATCCTCACCTGCTCTCCCAGGCACAGTAGCAGGGAGCTGGATTGGAAGTGGAGTAGCAGGGACTCGAACCTACGCCCATATAGGATGCCAGCGCTGCAGGCCTGGGCTTTAATCGGCTGCGCCACAGCACCAGCCCCGCATTTCCTCTTTGGCTAGTCTGCCTTATTTGCTTACCCCAGTGAACTGTGGAGCTGGGTTTCCTTGGCTAAGTTGTTCATCTTCTCCTTGGCGTTTGACTGCGGTAATATCCCTCCATCAGCGTGCTCATGCAGTAATTCAGGCGTTTTGTTCTAGCAATGAAGACACTTAGAGTTAATAACACATGAAGCCGTCTCATTAAAAGGGAAGTTTTGTTAGGATACATTAACACAGGCCGCGAACCAAAACACAAATCATTGCATTCCTTGGCTATTAAGGAAGCAAAATGAATTAGGACCCTAAAGCCATTTGTAAAAGAATCTTTGCCAACCTGTTTTCCATCTGCCTGTCTTTGCACTGAGCAGTGCCGGTAAGGGGCTTGGAATCTTCCGGAGTTTACAGCTTCCATGCTTGTCAAAGGCGGGCAGAGGGCAGCCCCTGGGCGAGGCATCAGCTAGGGCCCAGTTCTGGTTCTGCTCACTCCCTGGATCACACTGGGCGTGGTTCTTCCCTGCTCCCGAGTCGGTTTGAAGGCATCTAAAATCGTAGGGCTGTGTGGCCAATGTTTGCCTGTAAAAATGCTACTAAGTGGTGTTCCTTTTGTCTGAAGCCCAAGAGAGCTACAGTTACTGCGACAGTGCCTCAGCAAGTTCATGGATAAGCGGTGTAAGTTTATTTGGATGCAGAACATTTTTGAAACGTGTGCATAGCGTTTTCTCCACAGTACACGTTTTCCATCAGCTTTTTTTAATGGAAAATGTGTGCTTGGATTTTGAACTCGTTTTGCACCAAAACAAACTTTCAATTCCGTTTCTCACGAATCTTTTGAAGTCCCCTTTGTGCCAGCTTTCACTCTTGAATATTGCAGTCTGGGTAGGAAAACGCTCAGGATTTTGGCTAGTGAAGGAGTCAGAGGAAGCTGCCCGTGGGTGGCCAGGCGCCTGACGTGTCCTGTGGGGAGCAGGGGGGCCTGTTTTGACTCCAAACCAGCAGTGCATGAATGCGCCTTTATTTCTCGGCTCCTGCCGTCTGCCTTGGCCGGCGTTCCCTCTGGGGTCCGATCCTCACCGAGGTTTATGGCATCATCAGGCACCTCCTCCGAGGCCCTCCTCCTATAATAGTTCTCTGATTGGGGTCCCTGGTGCCGTATGATGGGGGATGTATAACTGCCTGGCCAGGCGGCAGCCGGCACAGGGGGACGCCTCGCTCTGAGTCAGAAGCCCCAGGAACGCCTCTCAGGTTTTGTGTCAGCGCTGGGAAAACCAGCCAGGGGCTCCCCTGGTTCTGTTGACCGGGTTCTAGAAGCAGAGGGGCTCCTGACCGCCCGACCTGCAGGCTGTGCCTGGTGCTTGTGTTGCTTCCCCTGCCTGGCGTTTGACAATTAATTAGGCATGGTAATTACCTGCTTTAATTTTGTGATTGCGCATCCTATAATTACCCTTAATTCTATAATAGGGAAGTTCATGTACACAAAGGCAGCCGATGACGGGGGTGACAGAGATGACAATATCACCAGCTGCCATGGCTTCCTGCCTGCCAGGCACGGGCCGAGCAGTGGCATCGCACAGCCACCCAGTGAGATCAGCCAGAGAACTGAGGCTCGAGGTAGGTCCCAGCGGCTCGGGGGAGGAGCTGGGATGAGAGCCCAGGCTTCTCTGCACAGCCCCTGCCCTTCCTCAGCCTCCCCCTGCCCCCAGGACTGCCCAAGACCCCAAGGCGGTCGGCGTGAATGATGGCTCCGGGCAGATCTGCCCTAAACCAGATGCGGGGCTCAGCCCACTTAGGAGAAGCATTTATGTCTGCATCCTGTCTGCGTGTCCCTCTGCCCTCCCTCATCCCTCTTCCTGCCTGTGTGTGTGTGTGTGTGTGTGTGTGATCAGTTGTACCGTGGAAGAGCCAGCCCCTGACGGTTAGATGTGTTCATCATGTCCAGGCTGCTGCCTGCACACAGTCGCACAGTTCTCTGCCCTCTAAGGCAGAGCGACCAGGGCTCGCCTTATTTCCCAAGTGGAGAATCGAGGCTTAAAGAGGTGATGAACCCACCCAGGATCACTCGGCTAGCCGAGGGTGGAGCTGGACTTTCAGCCCAGGGCTGCCTCGGTGCCGACAGCCGACCAGGCATCAGGTCCAGCTGGCCGCTCACTCGAAGGCTCCTTGCCCCGCCCGCAGTCTGGGTGCATTCGTAGCTCTAAGTCTTGATCAGTCTCCCGGGCAAGGGGAGGCCCGGCTTTGGCTTTGGTTTCAGATTCCAGTGGGGCGCTTGAATCCCGACTGCAGAAATTACCCTCCTGTTTTATTTTTCTTTTGCTGAGTCAAGGAGATTGGACTTGAAGTGGCTTTTTATTGCTTGCTTGAAAAGGGAACTTGATTTTTTTTCTTGGAAGAGGTTGACTCTTTGTGTCCCTCTGAGGAATTATTATCTTTATGGCTCAAGCAGAAGAAATTGGAGCTGAGCAAACTTAATTTGGAAGGGGGAGTCCTTTAAATTAAAAAAAAAAAAAAGTGACAATTTGGGGCCTAAGCGCTCTGAATTCTTCAGTGAAATAAGCCCGTGATCTGGTTAAGTGTGACTCAAGGACAATTTAGTTTGCAGGGAAACTTTCCCAAGTTCAGATGCTGAAAGCACTGATGCTCAGGAGCGGCCGTTGATGTCCGTGGAGGGAAGGCACACGCGGGAGGTGAGACTGGAGGGCCTGGCACCCAGGAGACCCTCGGGAGGACACGCCATCTGCCCAGGAGCGGGCCGCCCGGGCCTCGGAGGAGTTGAAAGCCGGCCCTTGCTGGCAAGGTTGGGGGTTTCCACTAGAAGTGCTGGGCTTGGATGGCCAAGCCTGGGTTCCCATCCCTGCCCCCTCTGTGACTGCAGGGGCCTTCGTCTGGGGAGGGGGCTGTTCACACCACGTGCTTTGTGGATTGAGGTGAGGACACGCGGGGAGGCGGCGAGGGGCCTGGTGCAGCGGCCAGCAGCCAACAGGAGCTTCACTCAGGGCTGTGGCTGGTGTGGCAGGTGTGGCTGGTGTGTCAGATGTGGCAGGTGTGTCAGGTGTGGCGGGTGTGACGGTTGTGGCAGGTATGGCAGGTGTCGGGTGTGGCGGGTATGGCGGGTGTGGCGGGTGTGTCAGGTTTGGCTGGTGTGGCGGGCGTGGCGGGTGTGGCTGGTGTGACGGGTGTGGCTGGCGTGGCGGGCGTGGCAGGTGTGGCGGGTGTGTCGGGTGTGGTGGATGTGGCGGGTGTGTCAGGTGTGGCGGGTGTGGCGGGTGTGGCAGGTGTGGCAGGCGTGGCGGGTGTGGCTGAGTGTCAGGTGTGGTGGGTGTGGCAGGTGTGGCGGGCGTGGCTGGGTGTCAGGTGAGGCGGGTGTGGCGGGTGTTTGTGTTTCCAGGGAGTCTGAAATCACTTCGTTCGTGCCTCCGCCCCTGTGGTGGATTTCATGGTGCTTCGTTACACCGTGAGTGTGTATCCTGGGGATGGGATTTGAGCGCAGCAGGCAGCAGGAAATGAGATCATTGTGGGTGGGGTGGGGTGGGGTGGGGTAGTGCCCAGGCTGAAGTCCTAGGGGTTCTCCAGGGATTCTGTGACCCACCCCCACTTCGATCAGGTGGGCTCTGTCACAGAAGCTGGTGCCACAAAAGCACCCTGGCTGCCGCACACCTTTTGAAGGCTTTAGAGTGAAGATCCTGGCCGGGCAGGAGTACGGACAGCACAGGCGTGAGGGAGCACCTCTGTCCCCGCTTCGCCTGTGCATCCGTGCGCACCCCACGTGTCCCCGGGAGCCTGTCCCCAGGGCTGCGCTGAGACAGCTGAGCGTTCCCGGGAGGGGCACCCTTGAGAATTACCTCCTCCCAAGGCACGCTGAAGGCCACACCTCTGCCCGGGCCTGTGGACTCCCTGGTCCCCACAAGGAATGGGACAGGTAGAGTGTCCGTGGGTGGGGCCCAGTGAAAGGTTCTAACAGGCTGCGGTGCAGTTTGATCTGGGCCCTGGATCTCAAACTCAGTGAGAGCAGAGTTGTTCTTTCCCGAGAATCACAGAGTCACAGGTGTGACTTCAAACTCGGGGCTGCTCATGGTTTATAGAATTTCATGCTTTTACAGTGATCTCGACAACTGCACCACAACGGTAGCAGCAGCAGCCACCTGGGAGTGCCAGGCAGAGTGACCAATGCTCCCCCCTCCCACGGGTTTTTTTGATTCTACCCATTTCACAGATGAGTACACTGAGGCCCAGAAGCAAATTGCCTAACATCACATCACTGGTAGGTGGTGGCAGCGCTGACTTTGGGAAGTTGCTGTCATTCATGAGCCAAATCTGAACGTCTCGATGTCTGGCTCGAGCCAGACCCACATCATTCAAATGATTGCAGGGGGTTAACATTCAAGTTGATCACCATGATCAGAGACTTGAAAAATACAGCCCTGTGTTGTTTGGGGTGGCAGTGCCGGTCACGTGTTGCATTGTTCAGTGGAGACTTGCACGAGGTTGTCTTAGGCTGCAGGCCCATTTTGCACCACGTGGGTTCTCCAGTCCTCCCAGTATCATCCTCCTCCTCTCAGCCCAGAGCAGTGGAGACTGGGGGGGAGAGTGCAGCAAGGCACACAGCCGGCGTGTGGAGGGCCCGGCTCAGTGTGTGTGTGTGTGGGGTGGCTGCCGGTGTGTGCATGACCCCAGCAGGGCCCGGCTCGGTGGGGGGGGGGGGGGGGCTGACTGCCGAGTGTGTGCCCAACCCCGCCGGGGCCAGGCTTGGTGTCGGGGGCCGGAGAGCTGACTGCCTGACCCCTCTGTGCAGCACATCTCCATCTGAGCACGTCCTTTGTTCTGCACTACGGGGATCCTCAGCCCCCGCCCCGGGCCGTCAAATCCTGGTGGTCCCTCCCCGGGATGTTTACTCGTGTCCTCAGTCCAGTGGCGCTCCTAGGCCGCGGGTCCTCTGCAGCCTGACCGTGGGTGGATTCCCACGGTGGAGTCTGTGTGTGCTGGAGGTGATGGCCACACCAGTGGTTTACTTAGGACAGGAGGGCGTGGGCTCGTGGTATCCCAGGTCCTTTCTCAAGCGTTGGGTTCCTGAGTGTGTCTTGTCCCTCGCAATAGAGGATACAAGTAGATGAAGCGGGAGGGCCAAGGGATGCCCTTCTGAGATGAGACATTCCCTGTGACCTGAACATTTGAACGAAATGCAGGCAAACTGGTGCCGTCCTGGTTTTCAAGAGATGAGAGAATTCTAAAGAAAGCGCCGCTGAACTGGTACCGCCCAGGTCAGCCAAAGCAGGGCACAGAGGCTGAACTAAGATGATGGTGAAATGCTGAAGGCTGCGAGCCTCCCCCAGAGCCAGGCTGTGGCCGTGGGCCAGCCCTCGTGGGGCATCGCTGGAGTCTGAGCGTGAGGGGCAGGCATGGGCAGAGGGGGCAGAACAGGAGGCCAGGGAAACAGTGGAGGTCTGGCGCTGAGGTCCAGGCAGAGCTCAGGGTGGGTGTGGGTGGGGGTGGCCTGGTTTTCAGCTGTTGGATGTGGGGGATGAGAAGCGGGACTGATCAGAGCTGATGCCCAGATTTCTAGCTTCAGCAACTCCATTTGCTGGGAGGACTAGGTCCCAGGAGGAGGAGGAGTGGGTTTTTGGGGTGTATCCCGGCTTCAGATGTAGCTGGGACGAGTTTTAGAGGCCTACAGGAGATGACGTCTGGGTCTGGAGTTACCGTCAGAGATTCCTGCCGGAGACATGGATCTGGGAGTTGCCGGCTAGGGGTGAAATGTACAGGCCCGGGAATGCGTGTGAGGGGAAGGGGAGGGACCCACGTGGGGCCTGAGGGGGAGCAGAGGGCACTGAGCTGCCCTGCGTGACAGCAGCTGGCGCTGGAATGCGTGCTAGGAAGTACACAGAGGCAGGATTTGTCTTCACAATCCAGGGGCCTCTGACCGTTACGTCGGAGGTGGTTTCTGAGATGTGTGTTGACATTCACTGATGGCAAAAATGCGTCGATCTCTGTCCCCATCGCCGGTCTCCCTTGCGGTGTAGTTGCTGTTCCTGGGCGAGACAGAAGGAACGGCGCTCACGGTTTTGTACCCCCGGTGTGCTCTAGCGGGGTTCAACTTGGTTCAAATAAAGAAGCCACGTGCCCTGGATGTGTGTGTCCTGTCTGGGTGTTACCTATCCACTCACACTGACAACTGAGTCCCGATCGTGACCTTGGCCTCCGTGTTCTTCCCACAGACTGGGTCCCGTCTCATCCACACGGTGGTCTGAAAGATCGGGGGCTTCGTTACTTACACGCGGGAGTGCGCCCCCTGCCCCTTGTGGGTGGGACACGCTGCTTTCCGCTCCATTTTGCCCATGAGGAAACAAATGGCCAGAAAGGTGGAAGAATTTGTCTGTCTTCGGAGGTTCTACGGGTTACCCACTCATCAGCACCAAGGGCAGCTTTGGCAGGCCGTGGGTCCCTGGACCTCAGAGAGGTGATGCAGCCCAACCAGGAGCTGCTGAGATCCGGGAGCGCTGCTCCTCGCCGTGCGGGGGCTTGGAAGGTCACAGTGCTGAATACCTCCACCACTCAGCATCAGTTTTCTTTTCTTTTCTAATTTTGCGAGAGGCCAGAGAGTAAGTCTCTTCAGCTTTGCCTGCCGTGCGGTGTGTGTGGCAGCAGCTACACACCCCTGTCGTTGTGTTGGGAAAGCAGCCACAGACAGCAGGGCTGCAAACACACAGGGCTGGGCTTGGCCCGCAGGCTGTGGTTGGCCTGCCCTGGTCTAGGTAATGAGCATCCTGGTGGTCAGCACCTGTTTGAACTGGCCACTCCTCAGCTAGGGCCGTTCAAGGTGTGTTAGATCGGAAGGACCGTGTTCGGCTGCAGGTGCAAAGACCCTGAAACCTCAGCGGGCAGACAGTAGGGGTGAGTGGTTCTTTTTTGTTCTAAAAGCTCTGGAGTAACTAAGCTAATGGTCGATGTCCCTCCCTCTGGAGGCCTGAAGGAGTGTGCCAGGTGCTGCGTCTGCGCCCCGGGCTCTCCTGGGTTTATGTGGTCTGGCTCGCTCAGACGGAGCTCTGCTGGGTTTATGTGGTCCGGCTCACTCAGTCTGGAGCTGTGGAAACGTCACCTCCCAGAGCTCTGCTGAGCCACACCCTCCCAGATGTCTTCAAGGGCCCAGTGAACTCCTCCCTGTTAAACACCTGCGTATCTGAGAACTGTGCCGTCAGCCGTCATCCACCCCTGCTCGCACGCCTGTCGGCAAGAAACGGAGCCACTGCTTTGCCTTTTAGACAGCTTTTCCCGCAGGAAAACTCCTTCCTCTGGAAGTCACTCCTGCTCTAGTTCCTACCTGCTGGAAATCTGGTTCCTGGAGACACGTGGGACCCCATGCTGGTCTCTCCTCTCTCTCATCATGGCCTTCCCAGGAGTCTGAAAGATTCCAGACACTTTGACCATCCTTGGGTCCATCTTCCCCGCCTTGTTTCTATCTTATTTCTGAAAATTTGGTGGCAGATCATCTGCTGTGGCCTCATGCTTCTCACACTTCATAGGGTTCTTGTTGAAACGCAGACTCCAGGCCAGCACAGCTGAGGTGGCACCTGGGATTCTGCATTCTCACATCTCCCACATGATGCCAGTTCACAGACCACATGGGGTAGCAGATAGATGGTCTGCTTTTAGAACACATTTCAGTCTGTTTTTTTATTATTATTATTACCAATTATTTGAAAAACAGAGTTACAGAAAGGGGAGAGAGAGAGATCTTCCATCTGCTGGTTCACTTTCTAAATGGCCACAGTGGGCAGGGCTGGGCCAGGCTGAAGCCAGGAGCCAGGAACTTCTTCCATGTCTCCCACATGGGTGCAGGGGTCCAAGTGCTTGGGCCATCCTCTGCTGCCTTTCCAGACATACCAGCAGGGAGCTGGATAGGAAGTGGAGCAGCTGGGACTTGAACCCGCACCTACGTGGGGTGTCGGCATTGCAAGTGGCAGCTTAATCCGCTGCACCACACTGTCGGTCCCTCAGTCCGTCTTTAATCAGTCAGCAACCAAGACCGAGCTGTGCTGGTCTGGTGGGTGTGGAATAGGGCAGCGCCTTGAACTTCTTCCTTGCCCCAGTTCTCCCGTGCCTTTCCGTGTGCTCTGATGCCACTGGCAGTAACCCTCCTACCTTGTTCACTTAGTTAGAATTAATGAAACCCTTGGGTAATTGTCCCACAGGCCCCTGCTATGCTGTGACACCACCCCCCCACACACACACACTTATACTCATGGTGCTGGTTTGTTTGGATTTTGTCATGGGACAGAGTTGAGTTCCAGCACATCAGGTAAGACTCATCCTTCAGGGTGGTCAGGATTCCGTGTTGTCTATCGTCCCGTTCATTCACTGTTCCTGTTTGGAGGCTTCTGTAAAATAGCTTGGCTTTTTGGTTTTCCGTCTAATTCCACTGGAAACCTCCACAAAGCAATTGACATTTTGTGGTGTAAGTCTTTCATTCTCCTTGCGTTCATAAGGATCTTGGGAGAGTCCCAGTGACTGCCCTACCAAAGTGCCATGGACTTGGCTGCACTTGGGGCTAACCGGTGGTCTCCAGGCAGAGACTGAGTTTGTCCCGCACGTTAGAGATGCCTCTCCTTGTGGTTAAAGAGGCTTCTAAACTGCGTATTGAGACGCATTGGTGGTCAGCTGCGGGAGCCGTTTATCCCCGGAGGCTGGTCTCAGACCTTGCCCTTGCTAACGATGCACTTGCTCGGTGTCCCTGGAAGGCGCCAGGGCCTGCACAGAGCTGATGAAGCAGCCCTCCCGTCTTGTACCCCCAGAGTGGGAGCCTGAGGGTCACAACTCAGTTAACAGGAGGAAGTCTTGTGCCCCAGCTGTGCTTATCCCCTGTGAACCCGGCCTTCTGTCCAGGATGGGAGTTGTCAGCTACAGCCCCTCCCCCTCCCAGTCCGCCTCCGTCTCATCTTGGTGGGGGTCTGCGGATTCCAGGCTCGCTGCACTGCTGTGGCCTCCATGGGTGGGAGGCACTGCCATCAGCCCCTCTCCACAGAGGAGGAAGCTGATGGCCGGGGAGGTGGAGTAGCCTCTTGGGAGCAACCTGTTTCTGCTGTGTTTGTGTCTACACCTGTGACAAGACCACAAGAACCGAATCCCTGCCGTGAATTGGGCTCTGATCTCTGCTGATGTCGGGAACGTGGTAGACAGTGTGTTACCCCCAAAGCCTTTCTGATTCGGTCGTTCTTTCCTGTCCCCATTGGTTCACGCAGTGCCACCGAGTCCCTACCCTACCAGGGGCTGGCATCCAATGACGTGAGGCAGCTGTGGCCACGGCTGTGACGGAGCTGGTTTCCATGGGTGGAGCATTGCCAGAATCCAGCCACAATTGATCATGAGACTTCGAGAGAAGTTGACCTTTTCTTTCTCGTCTGTCCGTGGCAGGTCTACATCCGGATCAAGGACGACGAGTGGAACGTGTACCGGAGGTACACAGAGTTCCGGAGCTTGCACCACAAGCTGCAGAACGCCTACCCTCAAGTGCGGGCCTACAACTTCCCACCCAAGAAGGCCATCGGAAACAAGGTACTGACCCCACGGGGAGCCCGGCAGCCCGGGGGCTATGCCCATGTCGTTTTTAGATGATTATTTAGAAATGCATGCTTCTTAAAGAAATGTTGGCTGCTGGGAGACAAAGTGATACAGAAGGAAAATAGTCCCCGTAATCCCACTGCGTAGACAGTCACCCTTATGTGTGTGGGCATGTGCCCGGATGGAGCTTGGAGAACTTGCTGCGAGAGGCCAGAGCCCCACACGCATGGCTTTGTGGGCTAGGAAGTTTCAGTGGCCATTACTCACCTGGCCAACGTGGCTGCGAAAGCAACCGGACGGCGTGGACGTGAGTGGGTGTGGCTGGGATCCAGTAGCATTCTCTCGGTAGGATTAGGTGGCAGGTGGATTTGGCCTGGCTTGCTTACCCTTGTGGTGGACCAACAGTGTCTTTCCAGTGGCCGTGGCGTCCACCCAGGCTTGTGAGCGGGACTGAGGAGAGGAGCTTCCTCCACGTTTCCTTTACTGCCGGGTCACCCCCTTCATGAAGGTCGCTGATTCCGGATGACCTAGTTCATTCCTGATCACTCACCCGGGTGCCTTTGAGAGAGGAGGGGAGGCTCTCCCCATGCTTCCCGGTTGGTTCTTGTCATTCTTTTGGGAGGGGTTTGCGGAACACCTGCTGTTGTTGCTGTGTGAGGGGCTGGGCTGGGACTGAGGGAGTCGGAGCTGGGGCCGGGCCTGGCATGGAGCCTGCTGTCTGCTCCATCCCATTGGCGGGGTTCTGTCCCCCTCCCGCTTATTTCCAGGAGGAGTTCCCCAACTGGGCTGCCCTTGGGATCACCTCGGGAGCTTTTAAAATCCCCGCGTGCTGCCCGCCGCGGCCTCCCAGCCACACTGTGATGGAGTTGTTTAGGCGTTCTCCGGATGACTCTGCAGCCAGGCCCACTGTCTCACAGGCCGGAACCCAGACACCCCGCCCCCTGGGTCAGCAGGCCTTCGGCGTGATGCCCACACACGAGGAAGCCTAAGCACCCTCGTGTGGTACTGGCAGAGCTGCGTGCAGTTTCCACGTGCGATGAATTTCCTAGGTTCCCTCTTCAGGAAGCACGTTGCTGGGGTTTCCTTTGACCTTTGTCATCAAAACCCAGCACTAGTGTTTCTCTAATGCACTCCCAGCACTTGGGGGCTCCGTCGGGGAAACTCCTGCTGCCACTGACCCTGTGCATGGATTTCTGACCCTCCGGGTCTGTGGGGTTTGAATGCAGGCGGTTCCAAAGCAGCTGTGCTAAGGCCCAGATTCCATCTGTGCCTCATTCGCTGTTATAGAGAAACGAGAAGTTGAACCCACCCACTTGGAAAACAGGAAGCACAACTTGGTGGTAGCAAGAAGTACGAGAATTCTTTCTAAAGAGGGCGACAAAGTGAATACTGATTCCATCGAAAGTCTCACAGGCTCTTAGGGTTCTCGGGACCCTGCCAGGTTGTCTTCATGTGCCACCCAGCAGACGTCTGCTTACCCAGCGTCTTATTTTGCGAGACACTTCGTGTGCGGGAAGCATGGTCTTGGTGTGGCCTTGGCGTGGCACCTGTCCGCCTCCCGCTGGGGGAGAGCTGTCCTGGCGCAAGGCTGAGTGAAGCGAGGGGTTCGGGTGGTGCAGTGGCTGTTGTGTCGGTTTCCTGGTGCCACACACACGGGGGCCACACAGCAGACATCGATCGTCTTGGAGTTCTGGGGGTCGGAAGCCCACGAGCAGCCCCACAGGGCCGACATCGAGGGGTCAGCGGGGCTGCTTCGTCTGAAGCCTCAGGGCTGAAACTGTCCCCTGCCTTTCCCTGCTCGTAGAGGCCACGTGCGTTCTTGGCTGTTCTTGGTCCACTTCCGTCTTCCAAGACACCGCTCTGACCTCTGCCCTTGCATCGATGTACTGTGTTCTTCTCTGCTTCTGACCCTCTCTCCCTGTGAAAGAACTCTGTGGTTGCCTGGGGAACCCGAGAGAATCTCCCCAGCTCCGGATAGGTCCCTTTGGCTGTGTCTGGTTCCAGGGCTCTGGGTGTGGAATCCACGGCACAGTCTCTGGCAGCTGTTCCTGGTAACAGAAAGAACGTGTTTGGCACCTCTGGGGTGTATTGGTCAGCTATGCCCGAGGCAGCCTGCTTTGTAAAGGAAAGTTTTGAAAGCTCATGGTGCAGCATCAGATGGCCCCCAGCAGCTCAGCCCTGGCCTCACTGACGGAGTCTAAGGCAGCTCAGAGCGTGAGGTGGTGGCAAGAGACGGGCAGTGCAGGTGTCCGTGTCTGGATCTCTTTAGAGTGACCAGGATGCAGTAGCTTGGGCCCCAGCCTGACCACCCAGTCCAGTCCATTACTTCCCGAACGCCATAGCTAAGTGGAACTTTACTTTCCTAGTGCTATTAACCTGTGACTTCGGGATTTAAACTTCGGCACGAGTTCAGGGTCTAAATGTACAAACCCTAATATTGGATGCAACGCTCGCCATCACAGGCTTAGTATTCAAACCACGGCATTGGCTGTGGCTCTCACAGTTGCAGGCTGTGTTCACACCACGGCGTTGGAGCTCCCTTCCCAAGTGAGCAGCCACTGCGGGCTGTTTCCCCTGCTGGAGTCCTTGCAGGTGAGGCTCGAGGGCTCTGTTTCTGTGATGAACCCATTGGTTTTCTCATCGACGCAGGTTAGGAGCCATTTGACTCTCTGCTGGGCATTAAATGCTGTCCAAAATATTTCTGGGGCTGTGAGATTACTTGTGTGTGATTATTTAATCTCTCCTCTGAGCTCCACGAGCCTTCTGAATGCACTCAGCCAGTGTAACATCTGCCTGTTTCCACTCCCGTTGTTGGACAACTGATTAAAATCACAACTTCGAAGAGCGCTTCTCAGCTCTTACCCTCTTCTTGAGTAATTGAGAATAATTGCTACCTTCCCCTTCAGTGCTCCCATTAATATTTGAGGGCCGTGTGTTACTATCTGGGTTATCTTTAGCTGGGAGAAAAAAACACTTTCAGCCTCTCAAGTTGCAGCCATTCCGGTGTTTTCCCTGCTTCCTCCTTTTGGGGCTCAGCATCCCTCCCAGGCACAGGGAGCCCCTCCGTCTCCCTCGGCCTCCTCTCCACGTTGCTGGGCCAGGTGTGCTCTTACCAGCTGTGCGATCCAGAGGCCGAGAGTTCGGGCTGTAGGGTCTCACTGGCTTGGATTCAGATCCTGCCCCTGGCACACGCTTGCTGTGTGACCTCAGGCCAGTCCCCCAGTGCGTGTGACGCTCATCTCCCCCATGGCGGCGGGGGTGGGGGTGCTGACAGCAGGTGCGCTTGTGGAAATCTCCAGGGAGCCTTGCCAGGCTGGTTTCTGGGTTTTTATTCCATTTTATTTTATTTATGTGTTGCTGTTTGGAGTAACTCGCATCTATCTACATGCTTGATTCTTCTTTCTTCCATCCTCTCCTCTTCCTCCTCCTCCTGGTTTCTTACCTCTACTGTAGTGGAGGATTTTGTGATTGTTACTATCATTCTTGTTTTAAAAATTGAGCTATAACATAGCTGTGATCTTACGGCCCGGCGTGGTGGATGTTCACACTGTAGACACATTTACGTGGATAGGGCTAGACCAAGAAGGAGACCATTAGCAGAAGCTGCTTCCTGTCACTCCTCCCCACGAGGGGGCGCGGTCCCAGCTTCTGATGCCATGGGGCAGTTTTCTCTGTAGTAGGACCTGCATAAGTGGCTTCATATAGCAGGTGCCCCTCTGTCTGGCTTCTTTCTTCCCCAGTATTGCATCTGTAAGGTTCCTCCATGTTGTTGCAAGTGCAAGTTGTTGGCTCATTCGCATTGGTGTTAGTGTTCCGTGGTGTGAATATGACATAATTTGTTTCTCATTTCCTCTATTTTTTTAAAAGCTATTTTGACTTTCTGGCATGTGTCAGTTTCCTTGCTTTTTTTTTTTTAAAAAAAGATTTATTTATTTATTTGAAAGGCATAGTTAAAAAGAGAGAGGGAGAGAGAGAGAGAGAGAGAGAGAGAGAGGTCTTCCATCCACTGGTTCGCTTCCCCACATGGCCACTTTACACTGGATGCATGTGTGGGAGCTTCTGGTTTGGCTCAGTTACAACTAGCGTCATAACGAACGTTCCTGAGACGTCTTCTGCTGGATGCCAGCCCTCGATTCTGTGGGTCTGCTCTCAGAGTGGACTTGCTGCTCCTGACTGCGCCTCTGTTCCACATTGGTGGATTCTGCCAGTGAATTTAACCTGATCCCATGGTGATGACTTCTTACAGGGAGGGAGAAAAGACAAAGCGTAAGGCATCCAGCACCCGCGTTGTAGCAGCCATTCCCATTTTGTGTTCTTGGCTTCTAAGCTCTTAAAACACTGCCACAAAGTGGTTCAGATGTGCCTCAGAACAGAGGAGTGGAATGAACGTCACATGGCACCATCCAGATACACTCTCTGCTAATGTCTAGAAAATTAACACTGTTTATAGAGCTGAATAAGTAGGGACCCACTGGGGGCCATTTTGAGTCCAGCCTGTCTGTGATTTATGATTTATTACCGTGATTAGGAGGGGGTCTTCTTGTACTACTTCGCATAGTGATGTAATCCTTTAGGTATCTTTCCACAACTCGAATTCTTCACCAGTGTTGCGCTTTGGGGATGAGCTCATGGGCGTGCATGGCATTCCAGCCTGTTACCGTTCCTGCACTTCTTGATACTCTGTTGCATGACTGCTCAGTGGTGTCTTTGTTTTTCCTTCCTTTGGTGGACACTTGGGTGGTTTTTAATTTTTTCCTCGTCAGCGTTGCAGTGAGCATCCTTGCACCCCTCTCCTGGCCACACGTTGGAGACTCCGCTTCGCCGGGTTGTGTCTTAGGACGCTATGAATGAAGCTGCTGGTGCACGAGGCGAGCTTGTCTGCACCTGGCAGATGGCTCTCCAAGGTGCTGGCCCCAGTTTGCTTCCAGCCAGGTGGATGGCATTCCCTGTGGTTTTTCATTCTCAACAATACGTGGCATTGTTAGACTTGAAATGTGTATTTTGCTACCACAATGGGTACAAAATCGTATCTCACCATGGTTTCTCACCGTATCTCATCATGGTTTTTTTTTTTTTTTTTTGTTTTTTTTTTTTAAGTTCATTTATTTATTTGAAAGGCAGACTGACAGAGAGAGGAAGAGACAGAGGCCGAGAGAGTGAGGGAGATCTTCGATCTGCTGGTTTACTGTCTAAATGGCCCCAATTGCTGGGGCTGGGCCAGGCCAAAGCCAGGAACCTGTAACTCCATCTGGGTCTCCCATGTGGGCAGCAGAGACCACAGACACAGACCACAGGCCTGCACACAGGCCACACGGGGCCTTAGCAGGAAGCTGGATCAGATGCAGAGCCAGTGGGACTCGAACTGGCGCCCTGACGTGCCGGCATTGCAGGTGGGGGCTCACCCCGCTGAGCCACAGCGCCGGCCCCGCTCGTTGTGGTTGTGACTCACGCTTCCCCAGATACCAGCAGGACTGGGTCTGAACGTGAGTCTTAGCCACTCACGTTTCCTCTTCCCTTTCTCGTCTTGCGTATCCCTTGGTCATTTTTCAGTTGGGTCCTTTCCCCGTGTGTCCTGCCTGCCATCCTCTGTCTCTGGGTTCCTCACAGTCCTGTCTCAGTGCTGTGCCCCCATGAGGAACAGCTCTGCTCCTTCCACACTGCCACCCACGCCTCGTTTCCCCCTCTGACACCTGCTTCCTCCCCAGCCCCCGTCCTGCTGGGGCACAGACTTTGTGTGCATGTCTGCAATCTGTGTGTCTGCGGTCTGTGTGCGTATCTGTGGTCTGTGTGCGTGTTTGCAGTCTGTGTGCGTGTCTGTGGTCCATGTGTGTGTCTGTGGTCTGTGTGCTTGTCTGTGGTCCATGTGTGTGTCTGTGGTCTGTGTATGTGTCTGTGGTCCATGTGTGTGTATTCTGTGTGCATGTCTGTGGTCTCTGTGTGTGTCTGTGATCTGTGTGCATGTCTGAGGTCTGTGTGTATGTGTTTGTGGTTCGTGTGTATTCCTGTGGTCCAGGTATGTGTTTGTGGTCCCTGTGTGTGTATTGTGGTCTCTGTGTGTGTCTGTGGTCCGTGGGTGTGTTTGTGGTCTGTGTGCATGTCTGCGGTCCATGTGTGTGTGTTTGTGGTCCGTGTGTGTCTGTGGTTCAGGTGTGTGTGGTCCATGTGTATGTCTGCAGTCTGTGTGTATTTGTGGTCTCTTTGTGTGTCTGTGGTCCACGTGCATGTCTGTGGTCCATGTGCGTATCTGTGGTCCATGTGTGTGTCTGTGGTCCATGTGCGTGTCTGTGGTCCATGTGCGTGTCTGTGGTTTGTGTGTGTGTCTGTGGTCCGTGTGCATGTCCGCAGTCTGTGTGTGTGTGTCTGTGGTCCGTGTGTGTGTCTGTGGTCCAAGTGAGTGTCTGTGGTCCATGTGTGTGTCTGCAGTCTGTGTGCGTGTCTGTGGTTTCTCTGTGTGCCTGTGGTCCGTGTGTGTGTCTGTGGTCTGTGTGCATGTCCACAGGCTGTGTATGTTTGTGGTCCATGTGTCTCTCAGTAGTCTGTGGTCTGTGGTCCGTGTGTGAGTCTGTGGTCTATGTGTGTGTCTGTGGTCCAGGTGCGTGTCTGTGGTCCATGTGTGTGTATTTGTGGTCCGTGTGTGTGTCTGTGGTCTGTGGTCCGTGTGTATGTCTGTGGTCCATGTGTGTATCTGTGGTCCGTGTGCATTACTGCAGTCTGTGTGTGCATGTCTGGTCCGTGTATGTGTCTGCGGTCTGTGTATGTGTCTGTGGTCCATGTGTGTGTCTGTGGTCTGTGGTCCGTGTGTATGTCTGTGGTCTGTGTGTCTCTCTGTGGTCTGTGGTCTGTGTGTGTGTCTGTGGTCCGTGTGTGTGTCTGCAGTCTGTGTGTGTATTTGCGGTCCATGTGCATGTCTGTAGTCCGTGTGTGTCTGTGGTCCAGGTGCGTGTATGGTGTACAAAAGTTGTTTTGAGCCCCGGTCTGTTGTCTGTGCTCCTGTGCCCCTTTTCGAGGGTCAGAGTGTGTGTATGTCGTAGGTGTGTGTGTCTGTGGTCCGTGTGTGAGTCTGTGGTCCGTGTGTGTGTCTGTGGTCCGTGTGTGTGTCTGTGGTCCGTGTGTGTATCTGCAGTCTGTGTGTGTGTCTGTGGTCCGTGTGCGTGTCTGTGGTCCGTGTGCATGTCCGCAGTCTATGTTTGTGGTCCGTGTGTCTCTCTGTGATCTGTGGTCTGTGGTCCGTGTGTGTGTCTGTGGTCCAGGTGCGTGTTTGGTCTCTACATGTGTCTTTGGCCCCGGTCTGTGTGTGTGGTCTGTGTGCCTGTCTGTGGTCTGTGTGTGTGGTCTGTGTGCCTGTCTGTGGTCTGTGTGTGTGGTCTGTGTGCCTGTCTGTGGTCTGTGTGTGTGGTCTGTGTGCCTGTCTGTTTTCCTCTCCTGCCCGAGTTCCCGGGAACAGCAGCTCCTCACCACCCCCTTCCTCCTCACCCCCACCCCAAGGTTCCGGCACGGGGTCTGCCATGGGTGCAGGCTGCTTTCCTGGTGACTGCCATGGAGGACCGTGGGGCCCAGCCTGCGTTCTTCCTGGTGTCCCCATAGCAGCTGTCTCTGGACTGGGCTCCGGGAGGCTCTGAGTGTCCTGTGAGTGTGGGATGTGATTTCCACTGCCTCTTTGGAGAGCCGTTCTTCTCCGCCAGACCCCAGTCCTATCAAGCTCAGCCACCCCCATGGCACTTTCCCATCATTTAATTTCTCAGCCGTGGACCTTCGGAGACATTCTTTTTTGTAATGAGTTTTGGAGCTTTTTTGAGTTAAGTGCCTGATCCTCATAAGCCGGAGAAAATGGAACTATCTCGTGTCGCAGAGGAGCCTTGAATTCTGGTGTTAGCCCTCCCTCGTGTCCTGGGCAGCCGGATCCCTGTTAGCAGAACATCAACAAGCCCTCTTCGCGTCAGCGGCCCCGGCCTCATAGGAATAGCAGCTGTTTATGGAGTGCTAACCACGTGCCGGGCCCTGGGCCAAGGACATTTTGTCTGCGCACTCTTGCTCTTGCTCTCACTTAATCTTCCCAGTGTCCTGGTGGCCCAGGGATTATCCTCCCTGCCTCACCTCCTGTGACTGCCTGTCTCCCCCCTAAAGCTTGAGCCCTCGAAGCCCTGTCTTGCCTCAGGACCTTTGCACTTACAGGTCCCTCTAAACATGCCAGTCTTCCCCCCGCCCACCATTCTATGTCTGGTTTCGGGGTTCCCTTTCCCAGCCAAGTTGGGGAGATGTGAGCTAAGCTATCCCCTGCTACTGTGCGCCATGGTAGGCTCTTCTGTGTCCCCTTTTTAGCATAGCTTGGCTGCTTACTTGCTTATTTGTGCTTTGGAGATGTCACCACACGTGGAGGACAGTGCCACAGGAAGGCCCACAAGAGGGTGTCTGCCATGTTGGTGGCTGGTGCCCGAGCAGCCTTGAGTGAATGCCCAGCCCTGCAGGACTGGGAGGGGTAATAGCAGCTGTGGGGCGTGGACTCCAGGGGAGCAGAGAGCCTAGACACCTACACAGGTGACTGTACCTACTGTTCGGTGTCAGGGCTGTGTTACTGTGCTGTGGACAGTGTCCCAGTGCACTTATCCGTGGGCGGCACACAGGCCACGTGGTGCCTGAGACGTGGTTTGTGTTTGAAGGTGGTGAGCAAGACGAGGGTGAAATCAGGTCTGCGGCTTGGAGGGCTCAGCCTGCCCAGCAGGTGGGGCTGCTCTTCCTCTTAACCTCACCGCCTTGCTGGCCACAGCGCACCTGTGCTGACGGACTCTGGGCCCTTGACCGGGATCTGTGCTCCCAGGCTCACCCGCCTGCCCTGCCTCTCTCACTTCCTGACCCCTGATGGCTGCGGCATTGCTCAGCTTGGAGGGGCTGATTGTTTCATTGGAGCTTTGAAGAATTCAGTTGGCAAGGGAGAGAGGTGTGTTCCGGCCTGGGGAAGTGTGAGTAACAGTGAGGTCGCACTAGGCCCCGATGTGTGTGGGGTTCTTGATGGGAAGTGCTCCAGCCCCTGACCTGTGCAGGGAGGACCCAGCTGTGCTGGGGTTAAGTCCTGGTCTTGGTAGTGGCAGGACCCAGACCGAAGGCTTGTTCCACAGCCTGGACCTGCTCCTGCCTGTATTCTCCAGGCTCTGTGACCTCAGATCACTGACAAGGAGGCCAGCAGGGATGCAGGGACATGCAGTTCTGTGGCCATGGAGATACAGATGCTGCCTGCTTGGGCAGCAGCATGGAGGGTGCCTCGCCACCTGTGAAACGGTGCAGGAGTGCACGGGCGCCAAGCAGTGAGCCCCTCAGCAGTGCTGTCTGGAGCACCTGCTTCGTGCCAGCCGCTGAGGGTGCAGGAGTGAACTGAACAGATAAGGACCTCGTGCACAGAGGGGCAGGCACAGAGGGCAGATAACATACATGTAAACATGCAAGTGATCTCTTTGCCATCTCCAAATAACGTAAAATATGTACGAGAGGTTTAGCTCCAGAGCTGTCCCTGGAAAGGTCACTCGAGTCATGGGAAATGTTAAGCTGCAAACCATACCGCACAGAATTTCTTTGACTTACAGAATTTACAAAGATTTCCCCACCGTTGCAAACCAGAGGTCTTCAGCTCCGCTTAAAGACAAAGGTAAAAATAGAGGTGGTCGGATTTTCAGAAACGAGCAGTGACCTCTCATCTGGGCTTGGCCTTCTCCTCCTTGATAGGAGATGTGGCTGAGGGCGCTGGGTAGCAGGTGTGATGTTAGTTGGGACAGGCAGCTGGAAAGATGAACCAGGCCAACAGACCTGGCCTTCTGCTTCATTCTGGTTTCTGCCTTTTATCTTCTCCCCTGGCCTCTGCCCGCTCATCCCGCCTTTACTGGGAGATCCCACAGAAAGCACAGACCCAAGTTCTACGTGGTCATCATGCAGGCAGAAGAAACAATGCAAGGCCTCTCCCTCAGCCACACTGTTGGTGCTCACGTGGGATGCAGAGCTGTGGGTCATGCCTCTCCCCACTGCTTCGGGACTTTGCAGATGCCTCCAGTGCATCGATTTTGGAAGTGATGGGACATAAGCATCTTCCCTTTTCCGGTGGGTTAGGTTTTGATGCTGCGCTCCAGGTAGCTGATGGGTGTGCCAACAATGCCGGCACCTGAGCAGGGCAAGACATGGCTGCATCTTTTCCAGATCCCAGATTTCTCAGATTCTGTCAGTCACTGCCTTCCTGGGATCTGCCCCTATTCTGTGCTTAGGCCACAGCGAAGGCCGCTGGTCAGCACCACGGACAGTGCCAGCATAGCTGCCACTCTGATGGTTTCCCACTCCGACTGTGTCTGAACCACTGAGGTTTGAACAGATTCAGACGGTCAGACCATACTCAGGACCTAGTAATTACAAGCTCCAGGACTGTAACCCTCCACTCGTTTTTTGAAAAGCCCTTGGATAATGCCCACCTTGTTGGTCTGCAGGCCCAAGAAAAGCTCAAGTTTATACCGAAGGGTCCATGTTCAGAGAGCCAGGACAACACTTGTGATGTCTGTCCACTTCTCCTTTAGAACCCCACCCCACTCATGTGCTAACCTTGTGCTGGGGTGGCCAGTGTTTTCGTGAGTTGGAGCTAGGCTGTCCAGGTATGGTGTGGCTTGAAATGAAGGCTATTAAACAGGACCTCCAAGGTTGACTTTGAAACTCTGTCTCAGATCTGTTCTCTTTAAAGAACTTGCCACTTGGTGTGGTCTGTGTGAGAGACTGGCAGACATGCAGAATCTCAGACCCCACCCAGGCCTACTGAGTCAGGCCTCCTGGGCGCAGGACACACACGGAAGGTTGAGAAGCACTGGTCCATGTCATTGTTGTCATTATTTCATGGGATCCTTCCAACAGGGCCCCTCCCTGTCTCCTTCCTGCCCAGATCACCTTATTCCCCTCCAGCAAGGCTGACTGCTGCCCAGCTGTCAGAGTGTCAGGCTCTGGACCACACCTGTCAGTGGGCAGAGTCATTGTGTGCTAGGTTGGCACAGCAGGCTGTGCTGTGTCCCGTCGCACCCTCCCAGGCTGGAATGAGGACTGCCCAGATATGGGAAGGGCTCAGTCCCTCACTGAGTGCTGTTCACTCCTGTTCATTCAGCAGGTGTGTTTCAGATGGTGGTGAGAAGACAGACTTGGTTTCTCTCTGGCTTCTAGGATGTCCAGTTCAGTAGGGACAGACATTAAATTAACCCTTAGATGCTTCTACACAGTGCCAAGCTGTTGGGTAGGAACAGTGCAGGGGCTACACGCAAGAGGATTCGATTCAGAGGCCCAGGCAGGGACCTACAAGCTGATATGCAGCATGTGTCATAGATCACAAGATGCATGTTCCAGGCAGAGCCAGCAACAGAGCAAATGCAGGCCTGTGCATTTCAATACTCCGTGCTGAGTCCAGATGCTCTGTCTCTGAGTCAGAATTTCCTTCTGGTGAAATGGAAGATTCTAGTTCCCAGTGAAGCCTTGGAGATGGCTTTATGTCCAGACTCAAGACTGCCTCTGACCAGGGCAGATGACGTGCCTTGTACAGACCTGTGCACAGACCCAAGGCTGCCGCCCAGAATAAAGCCTGTCTCAGCTTGGGCATTTACCTCCCCTGGAGTTCTGGGGGTGCGAGGGGGAGGCGGTGGGGGAAGGGCATGGGCTCTGGAAGCTGTATATCTGAGTTTGGATCCTGACAGTGTAGACCAGGGTGTCCCCTTGCTGTGCTTTGTTGTCACAAACGTAAAGACAGTGGCAGCTCCATCAGGAGGACACTGTGAGGATCAGGTGAGCTCGTGCAGGGCATGGGCTCAGAGCAGGCCTTGCCACAGGGAGTGCTCAGAATCCTGTGGCCATCATGGCTTCTAGGAGGAGATGGCATTTGGGACGTGCTGGATCTTTTGGCCACATAACGCTCTTAATGTCGCCCCCTGCTCCCCACCCCCACCCCCTGCCACAGTGGACCAGGTCCCATTTTACAGATGGGGAAACCAAGGCTCAGAAAGGGTCTGCTTAGGCTCAGCCTAATTTTCTAGCCCTGGAGTTCTTATTTTGAGGTGTGAGGGTAAAACGTCAGGTGATCAGTGAAAAAGAATGTGCTGTTACTTTCATCACCTTCTTTTTTTTCCCCAAAGAAACCTTTTATTTAATGAATATAGATTTCATAAGTACAGTTTTAGGGATATATAGTGATTCTTCCCACCATACCTGTCCTCCCACCCATACTCCCACCACTCCTCCTCCTCCCTCTCCCCTTCTCAGTCCCATTCTCCATTAAGATTCATTTTCAATTAACTTTGTACACATAAGACCAACTCTTTACTAAGTAAAGATTTCAACAATCTGCACACACACACACGCAGACACTGTTGAGAATAAGTTTTACAGTTAACTCTCATAGTACAACTCATTAAGGACAGAGGTCCTACATGGGAAGTTAGAGCACAGTGACTCCTGTTGTTAATTTAACAATTAACAGTCTTATGTATCATGTCAATGACAACCTGAGGCTCTTGACATGAGCTGCTTAGGCTATGGAAGCCTTTTGAATCCACAAACTCCTTTAGTATTTAGACAGGCCCTAAGCAAAGTGGAAGTTCTCTCCTCCCTTCAGAGAAAAGTACCTCCTTCTTTGATGGCCCCTTCTTTCCACTGGGGTCTCACTTACAGAGATCCTTCATGTAGAACATTTTTTGCCACAATGTCTTGGTTTTCCACGTCCGAAATGCTCTCATGGGCTTTTCAGCCAGACCAGGAAGTCTTAAGGGCTGATTCTGAGGTCAGAGTGCTACTTAAAGCGATTGTCTTTCTGTGAGTCTGCTGTGTGGACTGCTTCTCATTTTGGAACATCCTCTCCTTTTTAATTCTATCTATTATTATTACCAAACACTTGATCCTATTTGTATGATCATTTTAACACTTAATTCTATGTATATGATCAGTTTAACACTTAAGTTGGCATTTTTACCTGAAATATGAACTTTCAACATGCATTGAGGGTTACCTGCAGCTTTGTCACCACTGGAAATCAATCTCATACATTTTCATGTGGCATTATGGTTGCCACAGCTGTCTCCAGATAGCATTAAGGCTCATTGCTGCTCTGAGATTACTGTAGTGATTAGACCTGCACTAGATCTTGTTATTTAATACATCAGCAAAGCAGCACTTGTATTGCTCCATCACAGATGGGATATTAGACAGAGCACGTTGATAAGCACAGTTCTGAACCTGGGCTGATGAACCTCACCAGGCTGCAGAGGCGCCTGCTCTGCCCTCGCTCTGCCACTGATCGCGGGGTCGTGCTGGCTCCTGCACTGCGCCACTCCCCACCTCGATGAGCACCACCCCCCACTGCAGCTGCTTTGAGCCACTTGGCTCTTTCCAGTCTCTTCTCTCTGTTTCTTCCCCACTAAGTTCCTTTCTGCAAAGCAGGTGCAAGATACATAATTAATAGGGTGGGAAGAACGTGTTGAAAATACTGCAGCTTGTGTTTATTTTTAAGCTGCTGAATTTCAGAGCTCTGCTCCAGGTGTGGCCAGGTGCAGCTCAGCCAGCTTTGGCTGCACAGAGGCCCTGGGCTGATGGGAGGCTGCTGCTGACTGGGCGGGAGGGGCTTCTTAGATGAGCCTTAAATAAGCTTGAGAGAGCTGAGTGTTGGAGGGCAGGCGGGGGCTCCAGGATGGGAAGCTGGAGGGGAAGGCTCTGTGACCTGAATGTGACTGGAGGATGCCCAGGAGGAGGTAGCTTCCATGAGGGACGGGACATCTACGACTTCAGAGGGCTGGGGTGGTGGAGCTTCCGGAAAAGCTGCTCCAGAGCTCCTGCCGTCGCCTGGGAACCTGACCGGCCCTCCTCCCTCCCTCCCTCCCACCCTCCCACCCTCCCTCCCTCACCTCTGTGCTGACTTCCAGCAGAAAGAGTCTCTAGTGCGAGTCCTGAGATTAGAACCCATCGCTGTGCCTGGGTCCCGCACCCGTCCTTTTCCGGTTTGTTGTGTTTGTTGTGTACCTTTATTGAGGTAATTCACATTTCATGCCATTTAATCATGTAAAGTATACAGTTCAGTGCCTCTTAGTGTATTCACAGAATTGTGAAAGCCCCCACCACTGTCACATTTAGAACATTTCTGTCACTCCGAAAAGAAATCTAAACCATTTCACAGGCACCCGTCGTCTCCCAGCAAGCCTCAGCCAGCACCCACTCACCCGCTTTCTGTCTCCGTGGATGCGTTTCTGCCGACCATTTCATAGAAGTGAAATCATAGCACGTGTGGTTGTGTCTGGCTTCCTGGTGTAATGATTTTCAAGGTTCATTCATGTAACAGCACAAATCAGAACTTCATTCCGGTTTTAGATTTGAGACATAGTACATGTACCAGGTAGTTCACCCCTTTAAAGCCTAGAAGTCAGTGGTGGTTAGCATGTGTGCAAAGTTGTGCACCCATCACTGCAGTGAACTTAGGACTCCTCATCACCCTAGAGAAACCCCGCGCCCTTTAGCAGTAAGCCCCCGCCCTGCCTTTCTTCTCCCCAGTCTCCAGCCCCGGGCAACCACTGATGAACTTGCTGTGTCTGTAGATTGGTCCATTCTGATCATTTCCGGTCAGCGGCCTCACATGCAGGACACAAGAGTCGTGCTCTCAGGGTTCCTCTGTGTGTGTCACGTGTCAGTACCTTGTTCCTCTTTGTTATCCGGTATTCCAGCATATGCATCGGTCACGTCTTGTTTACCATTCATCAGTTGGTAACATTGGAGTCGTTCCTGCTTGTTGGCTTTTATGAATAATCATACTGTGAACAATTTTAGATGCAAAAGTGTTTTCCTTTTTTAAAAAAGATTTATTTTATTTATTTATCTTTTTAAAGATTTATTTCTTTATTTGAAGGAGTTACACAGAGAGAGGAGGAGAGGCAGAGAGAGAGATAGAAAGAGGTCTTCCATCTGTTGGTTCACTCCCCAACTGGCTGCAGTGGCTGGAGCTGCACTGATCTGAAGCCAGGCACCGAGATCTTCTTTCAGGTCTCCCATGGAGGTGCGGGGACCCAAGAACTTGGGCCATCCTCTGATGCTTTCCCAGGCCATAGCAGAAGTGGGGCAGTTGGGTCTCAAACTGGCACATATTTGGCAGCTTAACCCACTATGCCATAGTGCCAGCCCCTATTTTATTTATTTTAAAGGCAGAGTTAAAGAAGGAAGAGAGAGACAGGGGGTGGTGGAGGGATCTTGCTTCTACTGATTCACTCCCCAAATTGGTGTGATGACTGATGCTGAAGTCAGGAACCTGGAGCTCCTTCTGGATCTCCCCCTGGGTGGCAGGGGCCCAAGTGCTTGGGCCATCTTTTGGCTGCCTTCGCAGGGTCATTAGCAGGGTGCTGAATCAGAAGTGGAGTCTCTGAGACTCAGTGGTGCTCATATGGGATGCCAGTGTCACAGGTGGCAGTTTAACCTGCTGTGCCACAACGCCAGACCTTACTGTTGTTGTTCTTTAACTCTATCTAGGAGTGGAACTGCTGAGCTTAGGAGAGCCTTAGTCCATTCAGGCCACTGTAACAAAATAACAGATGAGTGGCGTGTGAACAGCCACATGATGTAAACACCTTGATTTTGTCCTTTGCATAATGGAAGATTTATAACTCAAGTGAATTCCGATGTGTTTTATCTCATTGGCTGCTTGTGTTTTTTGCTATCCTATCCTAAGAAGCCTTTTGCCTAGCCCAGGGTCATGAGGGTGTGTTCCTGTGTTCTAGCAGTTACGTAGTTTTGGCTCTTACTTTTAGTTCTGTGGTTCACGTGGAGGTAATTTTTGTGCCCAGTGGAAGGCAGAGATCGAAGCTTTGTTATTTTGCAGGTGGGTACCTGGTCCAGCACCACATGCTGAAGAGACCGTTTGTTCCCCTGTTGTATTGTCTTGGCGTTCTTGTGGAAAATCAGTTGGCCATATGTGGGAGTTTACTTCATTGATCTAAATATTTATACGCATGCCGCTTCCCTATTATCTGGATTACTGTGGTTTTGTGGTAGGTGTTGGAACTGGGAAATGTGAATCCTCCAACTTTCTTTTCCAAGTTATTTTGGCTACTCTGAGTCTCTTAAAATTCTGTATGAATTTTAGGATCAGCTTATTAATTTTGCAGAGAAGGCAACTGGAATTTTGATAAGAGATTTTGTTGACTGACAACTAATTTGAGTGTTATCACTTTAAAAATACTGCCCTCCCATCCTTGGGCAGGGCGTTTTCCCTCTTTATTTCGGTCGTCTTTAGTTTCTTTAAACAATGTCTTACAGTTCCTCGGGGTACAGTTTCTTCCCTTTGTTCTTAAGCCACTCACCGTGGGACAGCGTGATAGCTGGTGCTGACTCCTGTGCGAGTCCCTGCAGCTGGGGTGGACAGTCTTTGCCCAGTGACAGGGACAGGAAACGGGGGCCTTTGGAAGGATTACTAAGCTCCTCCTAACTCAGGCGTGGAGGGGATGAATGGTGAGCAGTGGAGCTGAGCACAGATTCTTACAGTTGAAGCTTTACTAGCTCTTACCACCTCTGTCACCCCAGAGGTCACTGGGGAGTGGAGTAGCTAGACACTTCCTGTCCTGTTGTCCCATTCACCCGAGCACAGGGCCTGACACGTCCTGCCAGTTGTGTGAGTGACGACAGCAGCTCCCACTCCTCACAGACGCAGAGGCTAAGACCCCAAGTGGGGACATGTCTCAGCCATGGTTAGAATGGCTCCTTGACTACGATTTTCACAATTTTTTTGCTCTCCTTCTTATGGGGAAATCCCAGAGACTTGCTCCAGGATGAGTAACATTTCCAAGTAGAACTTCAAAATGCTCCCTGAAAAGCAGATGTCCTAAAAGGTAGGGCTTCTGTCCTCTGCCTTCTCCTCTCTCCTGCACCCAGTATGGCCCCAGCATATGGCAGAGGCCCAGGGTTTCCTAAGTGAGTTGACTTCTGTAAAACGCCCCCTAGGGGCTGGCGCTGTGGCACAGTAGGCTGAGTCTCTGCCTGTGGCTCCGGCATCCCATGTAGGTACCGGTTTGTGTCCTGGCTTCTCTTCTGTTCCAGCTCTCTACGTAGGTCCTGGGAAACCAGTAGAAGATGGCCCAAGTGCTCGGGCCCCTGCACCGGTGTGGGAGACCTGAAGGAGCTCCTGGCTTCGGACAGGCTCAGTTCCGGCTGTTGCAGACACCTGGGGAGTGAACCAGCGGATAGAAGACCTTTCTCTCTGTCTCTCACTTTATCTATAACTCTACCTCTCAAATAAATAAATTAAAAAAAAGAAACCCTTCCCCTATATAAACAAAGGGGTGCCGTGGGATGGTAGAGTGGCTTGCGCTGGCTATGCTGGCTTCTCAGAAGGAACCTTGTCGTGCGTTGTGTGTCTGCTCTGTGCTGGGCGTGACCTGTTCCTGCTTTACAAAGCGTCATCTCCTGAGATCACACAGCGATCCCCTGAGGCTGACGTTCTCACGTCTCCGGCACAGAGGCCAGGAGGCCGCGGCCCCGCGGGGTGGAGCAGCGTGCTCCGTTCCTTCCCCCGCCAGTCCTGGCTGCTATGAATTTGTGCAAAGTGTTATAAACCGAGGAACTTTTGATTGGAAGACGGGCCTCAAATCGTGGCAATATGTGGCCTGCACCTGGTGCTTTGTTTGATCCACGTGGTCTTGGGCATTGTAAGAATTATTTCTCAGCCCTTTGAAATCCAAGACTCCCAGTAAATCTCAGCAGTCTGGCAGTGGTGACCCACTGTGGCCCAAGGGTGCACACACTGGGAATCTAGCAGCGGCTGCCCCTGCGCACACTGGCCCCTGGAATCTGCCAGATGTATTTGTGCGTGGACAGCATCTTTTATACCCTCTGAGTTAGTCCCATTAAACAGCACGCAGCAGCCTCTGCCCGCCTCTCCGTCCCCCCTGCTGTCCAGCTCCCAGCATCCCTGGGCTGCAACGTTGATAACAGGAAAACAGTGTTCAGCTGCAGCAGAGCCTGCCGCCTGCCTGTGTGGGCATTGCTGGTCGTGTCCCGCCGAGGGTCGGGCCTGTGCTGGGCACCAGGGAAGCTGGAGGAGACCACGTGACTGGCTCTGCCCATGGGGAGACAGGCCCCAGATCCAGCCCATCTGCAGCAATGGAGGCCATCAGGAAGCCTCGGCAATGCAGCCTCCCCCAGACGGCCGCCCCGTGGGCATAGTTTGTCCAACCACAAGTACTCACCACCGCTGTGCTGGGAGGGACCTTTGCAGAACTGTGTGAGCTGCGGGCTGCGCTGCTTCCTCTTTGTGTTTCTGGCAGAGCCCTAGGCCTCCTGCCTGGCCCTAAGAGGCAGGTCGCCATCGTGGGTGTAAGCTCTGGGTTGGCTGTGACTCCCAGCTGGGTCGCCTGCAGGAGGCACTCCCTGTCGTGGGCCTCAAGGCCTTCATCATGAAGCTGGGTGGGGCTCTGGAGAGAATGCAGGCAGACGCTTCTCGTGGTACACGCAGTCAGCTCGCAGTAGAGGTGGCGTCCTCATTGTGAAGAGATGCGTGTGGGAGGAGATGTCAGCACCCGTCTCCTGGCCTTTTCTGGAAGTGGGCGTGTCTTCTTGCTGTGTGTGCATGCAGGGTTTGATGTGGGTTCCTCATGGCTGCAGATGGGGAGCTCAGGATTGTCTGTCCCAACACTTGGCACAAGGCAGTGAGCCCATGGGACTGCTGTTCTGTATTCTCCAAGCTCCTTCCTGGGCATTGCCTTCCTCAGCCCTGGGGGCTGTGACGTGCCATCAGCCCACTGTAGAGGAACGTCTCGTAAGTGATGTGACCCTGCCTGCAGTCTGGGGCTCTCCCACAGCTTCCTAGGGAGAACAGCTTCACTGTCTGAGTGAGATGAACAGAGTAAGCGTGGCCATGGTGCTAGGGCTGAGCCCAGTGGCCTTGTCCAGGAAGGAAGCGTGGAGAGGACCTCTGGGTCTGTGACGTCCTGGTGAGTCTGACCACCCCTGCCCATCACAGGCACACTCCACCCAGCGGCCATCAGAACCCAGCCTCAGGACTGCCCACCTAGTCACAGGTAGTCGTGTGTGTCTCAGTAGATGGACAGGGTTGGGAGCAGGCAAGGGGCCCCTCTGGCCTCCTTGCCAGTACCATGGTGGACGTGAGCTTGTGCTGCTGATGGAGTGAGATGAGCTGCCTTCTAGAGTTTCTTCACCTCCCTGCCCCTCTGAGTCCTCCTCCCTGAGATGGGGGTGATCCTAGAACCTGCCAGGTAAAGCTGCCTTGGGGATCGGAGGTGACAGGTGCACACGACTCTGCCACAGAGCCCTTCGCAAGCCCTCTTGGGCTGCTGTTACGCTGCTGCTCTGTATGCGTCTGGTGCGAGGCCTCTCCTTTCTTGGCAGATTCTGTTTCCCAGCAGGGAGGCGGCATCCCTCATTTTCCCTACCTTCCCCCAACACAGCGTCCTGCACAAAACAGGGGACAGCAAGTTAGTGTAGGGAAAGACGGGGTAGGAGTCGGGTCTAGAAGTCCAGGATCTGAATTCCGGATCCCGTCTTAGATCCTCGGTGCCCACCCCAAGCCCGGAGTGTGGGACGCCTGTGGCTGCTCAGTGGTTGAGTGGATGACGTGATGTGCGCAGCTCACTGTCTTTAGGAGTTGGTGGGGGGCAGGTGTGGCGGTGCTGTGGGTTAAGCCAGTACTTAGGGCATCTGCAGCCCATACTGGAGTGCCTGGGAGGCAGCCCCACCCAGGCTTCTGATCCAACTTCCGGTTAATGCACTTCCCGGGAGGCAGCAGATGATGGCTCAGGTACCTGGGTTCCTACCACCCACGTGCAGTCCTGGACTGTGTTCTGGGCTTCTGGCTCCAGCCTGGCATTTGAGGAATGTACCACTGAATGAAAGACATCATGCTCTCCTGCTCGCTCTCTATGCTCTGTCTCTCTGCTTTTCAAGTAAATAAAAAATAAATGGCTGGCACCGCGGCTCACTTGGCTAATCCTCCACCTGTGGCGCCGGCACACCGGGTTCTAGTCCCGGTCAGGGCGCCGGATTCTGTCCCGGTTGCCCCTCTTCCAGGCCAGCTCTCTGCTATGGCCAGGGAGTGCAGTGGAGGATGGCCCAAGTGCTTGGGCCCTGCACCCACATGGGAGACCAGGAGAAGCATCTGGCTCCTGGCTTCGGATCAGTGCAGTGAGCTGGCCTCAGCACAGTGGCCATTGGAGGGTGAACCAACGGCAAAGGAAAACCTTTCTCTCTGTCTCTCTCTCTCTCACTGTCCACTTTGCCTGTCAAAAAAAAAATTAAAAAAAAAAAATTGTTTTATTTCTCCTTGAAGTAGATACTGTTGAAAACATTGCCAGGTTAAGATTAGGAGCAGGGGCTCTGCGGCCAGACACCGGGGTGCAGGCCTCAGCACCCTGCTTCCTGTTGACTTTGGGTGTGGAACATGATGCAAGGAGCCTCTCCGTACCAGTCGTAGCGGCTTCTCTCTGGGCCCTGCAAGGACTGAGCTCGGGGCCTCGCCATCCCACGGGGGCCGCACAGTGAGCCACCGCTAAGGTTGTGGTTTGTTCCCTCACCTCCCTCCCTGGGCTTGGTGCTTTTCCTGTTCATAGCCAGCAGCACCAGCTTCTGACGTCACCACAGACAGGGAGGCGAGGATGGGGTTAAAGTGAAGGGGAAGAGACCTAGGTCAGGCAGCTCTCGGAGAGGCTCCTGGGCACAGGGGTGTGGTCCCAGGGCAGTGCTGAGGTCGGATACACTGATGGAGTGACTGACAGGCTTGTCTGTTCTGCCCACTGACGGAGCCTCCCGCCTCAGAGTTCAGCACCCCTGGAAGCCCTGCCGCCACCCAGATCCCTTGGGTCTCTAGGACTGGGCTTGGTGACAGCAGGCTACTGTGCATTCTTCCCTAGCAGACTTGCTAAGTTGCACCCATGGGGGGCCTTGGTTTATGTTTCCTTGCTATAACGTGACAAGAATGGCATCAGTGCTTAGAGAATTCTCTTTCTTCTTTGATAAGTCTGAAACCTTGGATGAAAGGGATTATGGCCTAAGGAGTCTGTGCGGGAAGGGAGTTGAGAGATAGTTTGACTTGCCTGCTCCCTTTCCAGGTGAGGGAATTCAGGCCAGAGGGGACTTTCCCAAGGACATATGTGGAGTAGGGGTCAGTGTGAGGCCAGGTTCCAGGTCCCCTGTTTGCTGACCTGTGTGTCCTCACCGCACCACACCCCAGGAGGCCGTAGACTGAGTGGACGGAGCTGGGATGCGTTCTGGGTGGACAGTGAAGGAGCTGGCCTCTTCTTGCAGCCGCTCACTGGCCTCCTGATTTTCCATGCTTGCAGCACACAGGATCTGCCCTCTGCCCCCCTTTAGAGCATGCCAGCCACGTCTATGGGAGGGACAGGGAGGGCACCAGGATGGGAGGAGTCTCCTCTAAGAACCAGCCAGATCTGCAGGGTATTTGAGCCATCGCCTGCTGCCTCCCAGGGTCTGCATTAGTAGGAAGCTGGAATGTGGGACAGAACTGAAAGTCAAACCCAGGCACTCTGCTACCGGGTGTCTGTGTCCCTAGCAGAGTCTTCGCTGGTAGGCCAACCATCTGCCTCCAGAGACACCTTCCAAGACAAGTATTAGGTGTGTGCAGTTGGCACTTGGCCACATACCTTCCTATGCACTTCCCTCAGGGTCTGCCTGCCACCCAGGACGTCAGGAACCTGCCCTTCAGTGTGAAGGGGTTGTCACCGTAATCCAGACCAGAGCTGTGTGACTCTTACTTCCTAAGGAACACACTTAATTTCCAAAAGGCTTTAGAAGTCCAGCCGAGTAGTAAATGTGGCCTCTAGGGGGCAAAGTGAGACCTGTCATTCACTGGCAAATTCTTTAGCTCCTCTGTGTCTCAGTTTGTATGTCTGTCAAATGGGAGCAGGGCAGGAGTCCTGATGTGCAGATTAAACAGTAGAGTTCGTTTGTAAATACGTACTACACCTGCTGGCTGCCATGTGCAGAAAAATAAACAGATAGGGAGCGATGGCTGTGCTCTTTTAGACAGGAAGGGACGCTCGAGCAGAGACGTGAGCCCTGCAGCTGTTCTGGACGGGATCGTTCACACAGCAACACAGCAGGTGCAAAGGGCCAGAGACGGAAGTGTGCACGTTCACGAGGCGTGGACAGCTCAAGGACAAAGAGTGGGGGGATGTGGGGTCAGAGAGGACTGGATAGGTGAGATCCTGGGTGGCGCTGGTCTCCTGTTGGGGGCTGGGAGCCCAGTGGAGGCTATTGGGCAGGGAAATGGCCTGGTCACTTAAAAGGAACTTGGGTCCCACTGACTTAGGGGCATCTGCAGCGCACCCAGCCCTGTCCTGGCTACTGCAGATGGACAGCACAGTGAGTAAAGCCTTGGAGGAACCCGCCCTGCACGGGGGAGAGCTGCCCATGTGTGAAGAGTCGCAGATGGCCTGGGCTCCGTGGGGCAGTGATCAGCCAGCCTCCCCTGGGGGCCGAGGGGAGCAGTTTCTTAGACACTGAAGCTTGAGTTTGGGGGTCAGGACATCTCCTTGGGGGTTGTGAATGGGGCCTGGCCTGGGAGAGAGGAGACTCCTGGAGGGCAGCTAGGGGCTGAGTGAGGAAGGGCCTTGTGCTGCGCCAGGGAGCGTGAAATGGATCTGGAAGGCACCAGGGAGCCTGGAAGGTCTCTGCAGGAAACGATCGCATCGTGGATGCCGTCCACGTGGGGGCCCTGTTGCGGTCACTGCTTGCACCTGTCCTAGAAGGGCCTGGGATTTGGGCGATCAGGGCCACTCCTGCCCCCGCTGTCATCCCACAGGAGTTGCAGGTGGTGCTTGTGGGAAGCATTGTGGTAGGACAGCAAGCGGCCTGGCTGCGCTGCTTGCCCTGGGGCGTACCCGGTGCCTGTCCTCAAGCCGTCACTGGTGGGTACTGACCGACTCCCTCGGCCCCAGGCTGGCGTCACTCCTTCCTCCCCAGCTTTGCTCAAGTACTCCTGCCCCCTCCCTGCAGACCCAGGTCAGAAACGCCTTGTCCGTGCCCGGTGCTCGTCCACACTGCCCGGCCAGAGGGGAGCGCTGCTCTCCCCATTTTCACAGCACAGTTTTGGCACCCATCTTTGTGCCTGTCCCACGAGCTGGCTCTGTGACTTGTGGTTCCCTGCATGTGCCCGGCTCGTGGGCCTCCTGCAAACCTCCATGGAAGAGTGAAGGGGCTTCCAGCCATGCCCTCTATGAGGGTAGCTGTTGGTTCACTTCTCTCTCACCTCCTTTCCATAACCCTGAGACAGACCAGGTGGCCGTGAGTGGGTGAGTGCATGTCTCCACTGTGCTGTCCACTGAAGGCTTGAATGAGCCAATGATAGACCTCCAGTGTCCCCTCCAGTCTAGAGCCTGGCACGGAGGGTGTGCCCAGCAGGGTTTGCTTAGGGGGTAACTGGATGATGGCCAGTGGCCTCTCCCACATTCAGAGAGGCATGGGGCAAGGGGTGGAGGGAGTGGGATGTGGCTTGTGTGGGGCTTGGCCTCTTTCTTGCCTTGCTCTTTCCTTCCCAGTCCATGACCAAAACACTCTCATAACTGGTGGGGGAGCTGAGCTGCTGGTTCGGGACTGAGCTGCTGGTGTGCTCACTGGAGGGGCCGTGATCATGGCCTATAAGGCAGTGGGTGTCCTAGGGCCTACGGTAGGGGAGTCTCTCACCCATGCCTCTGAGATTCACCCCGCCTACCCTGCCCAGCCCAGCCAGTCGGCTCAGCACAGCCCTCACCCTGCCTGTCTTGTGTACATCAGAGGTGCTCCAGCCAGTGACTGTCTGGGGGAGAAAGAGCTGGTTCAACAAGTAAAGGCGCGTCCACACGGCCAGCTCTGCAGGGCTCTCCAATGCCCTCTTTGAGGGTTTCACAGTGGCGCGCTGGCCAGCACTTCCCTCCCCAGTCTGCCAGTGAGCAGTTGTATAACCGTCTCCCTAGAAGCAGCCCAGGCTTCAGGGTCGGGAGCCCAGGCCCTGCGCTCCTAAGAAAGCTAAGTTCGGCCGGTGCCGCGGCTCAACAGGCTTATCCTCTACCTTGCGGCGCCGGCACACTGGGTTCTAGTCCCGGTTGGGGCGCCGGATTCTGTCCCGGTTGCCCCTCTTCCAGGCCAGCTCTCTGCTGTGGCCCGGGAGTGCAGCGGAGGATGGCCCAAGTGCTTGGGCCCTGCACCCCATGGGAGACCAGGAGAAGCACCTGGCTCCTGGCTTCGGATCAGCACGGTGTGCCGGCTGCAGCGCGCCAAGCCGCGGCGGCCATTGGGGGGTGAACCAACGGCAAAGGAAGACCTTTCTCTCTGTCTCTCTCTCTCACTGTCCACTCTGCCTGTCCAAAAAAAAAAAAAAGGAAAGCTAAGTTCACAGAGCCATGTGGGGTTGATGGGGATAGAAGGCCCATTCCCGGGCCTCAGGGTGGTGGGAACTCTGCACCCCCAGGTTGGCTCACACTCAAAAGAGGAAAAGCCGACTTTCAGCCCTCCAGGATCAACATGGAGTAGATTTTGAAAATGAAGCATTGGCGTGATTTTCAGTCCCACAGAAGAAAAGGCTGATGGTTGCTCTCTTGCTTAAAATACCTGCCACCCAGATGGAGTTCAGACCCTGTGACGCAGCCTCCCAGCTCTCCACCCTCAGCCCCCAGCCCTTCGCCCTCCTCTCTCTGAAGCCCGGGGTCCCCTGGCTGCAGTGTTTGCATCTCCATGCTGCACCCTGCCCTGAGACCCCTTTCCCTCCCTGTGTCTCCTCTCCGTGGGGAATGGGTCAGGGCTCAGGATTTAGACTTCCAGGGCCCTCCCTGAGGCGGTGTGTCTGGGTGCCTGGTGCTCCTCTCAGCCTCGGTGGTGTCCCTCTGCAATGACCTCCCTCCTCGGGGGGCAGTGGAGAGCGAGGCACAAGGATGCACGTTGGGCAGGTGCACCTGGCGCCTTCCTCAGTGCTACGACTGCTACTGCTGTGGTGACGATCACACCACACGTGGGTCAGATGCCCCCGCGTCCCCACCACAGACCCAGCGCAGACCTTCCCCAGTGTGGCAAGTGTCCCAGTGCGTGGGGCGGCGTGGAGAAGGCGCACCTGCCCGGAAGGGCCCAGGCAGTCACGTGTCAGGAGGGTGCAGGGTGCGGCCCAAGCGTTTCTTTCAGGAGCGCTACCTCGTTGTCTTGTTCACAACATTCTGTCATTTTAAAAATAGCTGTTCTTAATTTGATGGTATCTTTATCTTCTTGAGGCTCAAAATAAAATTAACCTTTTCTGGAAGGGAAGAAACAGTCCCATTAAAATAGTCCTGAGTGTTCTTTTTTGAAGCAAGGCCTGACTCCCAGTGCTCACTATTAATAGTTCTAAACCGTAATTGACAATGGTATTACAATAGGAATGCCGCGCGCAATGACAGCAGGGCCACGGGCGGCGAGGACTCATTAAGCGGCCACCAGAGGAGTCTGGCACATTCCGCAGGCTGGGCTTCCGTCCAGCCCCGTCACTTCTAATCTGCGTTCTGGCTGCCGCCCCAGGAGCCCAACTGGGACACTCGCAAATGCCTCCGGCTCCTTTAAGAGCTAGGCCCTCGCTGAGGGGCGCTGGTCCCCAGGGAGCCCCGCAGGCTGGGGCCTGTGCAGGGCCAGTTCACTCCCGACCTGGGCTTTGCCCTCCAGCCCCTTGCACACAGGGTAGCCTGGTTCTCCCTGCCCGCAGGCCTGGCTGGAGCCATTGTTCTCCCTTGTCTGGATGTTGGCAGCAGCTTCCAGACTGTTCTCCCTGGCCGCCTGCCTCGCCGCCCTCAGCCTGCCCCCGTGTGTCTTTGTTCTTTCCACAAACATTTATTTTATGCAGCCTGTCCTCATCCCCCGGCCCCAGGGCAGGCTCTGCTGATCCAGGGATGAGCCAGACAAAGCCCCAGCCTCCGTGGGATTTCCGTTTCCGTGGGAAGCAGGAGGTGCTCAGAGAAGGAATGAGGACCCCCCCGCCCCAGGGAACAGGGGCGCGAGTGGGCATGAGTGGGCATAGGGAGCAGCCCAGGCAGATGGCAGAGAGCAATGCAGGATGGGAGAAGAAACACAGGGTCCGTGGCAGGTGGACAGAGGACGGAGGGAACTCTGAAGAATTCTGAGTAGAAAATGCCTGCGGCTGCCAACACCCCACTCCCCTGTCCTTCTAAATATGCGTCGGGTCACAGACCTCTGGCCTCCCACCTCCCGCTGGCTGCTGTCTGCGTCTGGCAGGGCTGTACATGGCCAGGCTCCTGCTGAGCCACACTCGAGCCACTAAGCCCAGCCACGTGGGCCTTCGCTCTGCTGTCCAGCAAGCCGGGCCCCTCCTGCCTGCAGGTTTCTTTTTGGCATTAGCCATCCCCTCACCTGGGGGCACCCACCAGGACCCCCAGTGGACATGCCTGTCCTCCATTAGACTCTGCTAAAGCAGCCTGTGCTCCGAGGAATGCGTTCTCTCCTCCTGTGAGCCAGACACGCCTCCCTGCCAGCCCCCTGAGCACCTGTCTCCAGCCAGTCATCTGTGGCCGTCAGGGCCTGTCACAGAGCCTGGCAGAGGTTGCCACGGTGAGGTGGGCACTCCGTTATCCCCGGTTCACAGATGAGAAACTCCAGCCCCAAGTGGTTTGGCCCCTGGCCCGCAAAGCGGGACAACGGCACTGCAGGCCCCTCTGGTAGCTTCAGGTCATCCTGCCACGTGAACTGCACGTGGTGTGGCCTCTCGGACGGATTTGCTGGGCCTGGGCCAGCCATAGGCTGTGGCTGTGGTATAGATGAGGGGCTGCAGACTCCAGGCCTGTGAGGAGTGGGCTGGGTCGGGGGGTGGTGCTGTGCCTACACATGTGGCAGGCCCTCACTGCTCCGCCCTGCCCACCAGCAAGACTGCTTGTTCTAGAGGGGAAATCACAAGGTTGCAATGGCTTTCCTCAGGCCATGCAGAGATACCTGTGGGCCACCTGTGGTTTGTGGGTGCCTGGGAGTGGCTTGTGGGGGAGCCGGCAGAGCTGTCTGCCACCAGCCAGGCTGTAGAGTGGCTGGGGCAAGAAGACCTTGCTGTGACTTTGGAGTGGCCCCAGGGGTCCCTGCTGGCAGTAGATGTCCCATGGCTCTTCCTCCCACCTGGTCTCAGAGGCTTGCCAGTGAAAATACAAGGCAACAGTTGAAATTTGAATTTCAGATAAACAGTAACTTCTCCTGATAAGTGTATTCCATAGACTGCCTGGAGAAGTCTAGTCTTGTCTTAGGATTTATTTGTTTGAAAGGCAGAGCGACAAAGTGAGGGTGGGGTTGGGGGGGACAGGGGAGGGGGGAGAGAGAGCACGCTTCCATCCGCTGGTTCACTCCCCAGGTAACTACATTAGCCAGGTCTAGGCCAGGACAGAGCCAGGAGCCAGGGACTCTATCTGGTCTCCCACATGGATGGGAAGCGCCCACGTCCTTGGGCCATCTTCTGCTGCTCTCCCAGGCGTGTTAGCAGAAAACTCCATGGGAAGCAGAGCAGCTGGGGGTGGAACAGGCACTTTGATATGGGATGCCAGTACTGCAAATGGCGGCTTAACCCACTGTGCCACAGTGCAGGCCCCTGGGAAGGTTTCTAATATGGGTGTACTTTTTTTTTCCCTGAAACTTGACTCCTTTTGTCTGGGGGTGTGGATTTTTCCAGGCCACGTGATTACATCAGCCAATTCTGCCTGCCCTGGCTTGGCATACCACCTAAGAAGGAAGCTTCCCTCTGTGCCAGGGCCTTGGCCGGGCGTGGTGGGACCCCTCTATCAGGGAGCAGGCCCCACGCTAGGTGCTGTCTGAGCCCTCGCCTCATGTCATGGACAGTTCTGGAGCTCCGGGCTTGGGCCAGCCCCACGCCCACACAGGGGTGTGGAGGAGGCAGTCGCCCAGCCCTGCCCTTGGCTGCCTTCTCCTCCTCTGCTGCACGTGACCTTTGCGAGATGGAAATGACCCCGCTCCTCCTGCCCGTGCCCTTCATGTACTCAGCAGGCCTGCACACAGGCTGCCCCGGGTTTCTGCTGTGAGCGAGCCCCCAGCTCCCACCCCCTGCCCCAGGATAGAGCCTCACAAGCTGGATCCTCTGCAGAATCTGTGGGGCCAGGCCCTGCACAGATGTGGCCCCCCCGCCCCCAGGCTGTGAAAACGTCCATATGGGCTGTACATCCACCCTCCCGTCCAAGGGCAGCGCCTCATCGACTGCAGGTGGCACACCTGAGACGCTGGCCCTGCCGTCAGGAGCCGGCGGATGTGGGGTGGGGCTTGTGGAACACAGAGCCGCTGAGTAGCAGGGACCCAGACCCGCCCTCTAGCTGGTGGGACCCTGAGCCACGTCCCCCCCGATTCTAGTTCTGCCAGAGAAGGTAGAAAACACTTGCTTATTGGTAAAATCTTTCTAATTGTTATTTCAGAAGATCCTGTGAGGGCCAATCTAAGCAGTGCCCTAGAGGGTGGTATTTCGGTGTGATTCGTGTCCATTCGGTGGTGTGGTCACTGGGTTCTCCTTCACTGGCCAGGCCACAGCAGTGACCTCATACACCCATCGTTCTGTCCCTGGACCCCCACCCCCGCCTGGCACATGTGGAGCTCCTGGGTGTAGGCTGTGGACCTGTTTTCCCCAGTTACAACACCAGCAGTGTCGGACGCACCCTCGGTGCCACCAGGCGTGGTAGCACGCAGCCCTGGAGGTGGCCGTTAGCACGTGGGATCGCCCCGTCAGAGCCGGCCAGCCACGCGTCAGGGTGGGTGGTCTGCGTCTTCTCCGTGCTGGGCTCTGAAGAGGCAGAGCAAGCCTTCCCTGACACGCATGCTTCGTGTGTTTGTGCAGGATGCCAAGTTCGTGGAGGAACGAAGAAAGCAGCTGCAGAGTTACCTGCGCAGCGTCATGAACAAAGTCATCCAGGCGGTCCCCGAGTTTGCCGCCAGCCCCAAGAAGGAGACACTGATCCAGCTCATGCCCTTCTTCGTGTGAGTACCCAGCACGGGGGCCTCCGCCGCCGGCTCCTGGCATCATCTCTCCGGAGGTCAGGGAGCGGAGCCGGTGGCTTCCGTATGCCCCACTCACTGGAGGTGCTGAAAGGGAGGGCCGGCCACGCTGTGGGGTCCTCCAAGGTCGGCAGCTGAGAGTAAATTCGGGGTCTGGCTTCAGACTGCCGTGCGTGCTCATCAGAGGCCAGGTTCAGTTTCGGTGTGGCTGAGAGGGGCCGGCACTGACACGTCCACATCAGTGTTTCTCTGCCTTGGGTTGGAAACCGGAGGCCACGCCCCACAGACCCCCGTGTGGACTGCAGTGGTTTCTGTGTGGGGATCAGGTAAACGAGAACAGACTTAACATGCCATTTAAACCCCTTGCCCACTTAGCTTTTAAAGAAAACTTGAAAAGGAAGTTTATCTCTCCGGATCTGGCTAAATCCCCTGATTAAACTTGAACTGAGCAGTGAGGAGGTGGGGGAAGGAGAGGCCCTGCCCCTCACGGCATGCCAGCAGCCCTCCTGCCCCGTGCGGTCAGTCCTGGCAGCTCTGGCCAGGTGTTGACCACATGCCAGTGGGTCCCGTGGTGGGGGCGGCGTGTTAACGTGAACCTCGGGCGTGTCGTGGCGGGTCTGTCGAAGGGCTGCTGTGAGTCGGGACCAGGACAGGTGGCTTTGGCACCGGGTTTACACTGAGAACATCAGGCCCACTTCGTGGGTTTTGAAACACAGAACTTGAGGAGGTGATGGCAGGTGACGCCACGTTGACACCGGCAGTCTTGGCTGCACGAGGGTCTGGCCCTCCGCTGAAACGAGACAGCTTCTGCCCCGATGTAGCCCTCTCCTGCTTGCTTTTCTGAGTGAGAGGGGAGGGCCCCGGGACGTGCCCGCTCTTTCCCCGGGGGCGTGGGAGGCAGGTGCCAGCTAAGCTTTGCCCCGCAGCTGAACCCGCAGTGAGAGCTCCTGAGTGTGCACCCACGGAAAACAGCGGGACCGCAGGTCTGCGGAGCCGAGCCCGAGGGAGTTCTGCTTTGCTTGGTTTGGTTTGGTTTGGTTTTAACCGCTTGTCTAAGAAAATAAACCCCTGAACAGCAGATCTTGACAGCATTTGCTTGCTTCTTTGAAATGCTGAGTGAGGACCCTAAGTCCATTTAGTCACTGAGCATCAGTGGACTCCCTCACAGGAGACAGTCCCACCTCCCCGTCATGTGGATGAGGAATGCAGGCTGAGGGTTACCCGGCCAGCACTCGGGGGGCCTGGGCTACTGTCCACTTGTGGCTCAGGGTTACCCGGCCAGCACACGGGGGGCCTGGGCTACTGCCTTGCTTGGGGTGTAGGTGGCAAGTCTCCAGCCTGAGGACTGAGTCTGAGCCTAAGTGGCTTCAACACTGAGGTTTGTTATTTGCTTGTTTCTCTTAGTTGAAATAGTTTATATCATCCAAAACAGACACCTAAAAAAAAATTAAAAACCCCAATGCCAAGCTTGCTTTCACATAGTCAAGAGTTGGGCATCCCCCCACCCCATTCTTCCACTCCGTTACACTTAGCTGGGGTCCAGCAGTGGTGCCCTGTGCCCACTGAGTCCCCAGCTGTGTTGCCACCTGGACCCTGCACCAGCCTCCCCTGCCATGTATCCTGGCTCTTGGATGGGTTTCTCAAACTCAGGGCGTCCCTCACAGGACCTGCTGGCCTGGTAGACACCGGGGTGTGGGGTCCTGGTTCTTACCCGCTGCTCACAGGGTGTCAGGACATCCCGAGTTTTCCATGACGTGTTTGGCTTGCATCCTGCACTCCTGTCCATCCATTTCTTCAGCCAGTTGCTTATTAAACTGCAGTGGACCAGGTGACCCTATTGCTGTCTGGGGTGTAGCAAGGTGGGCAGGGCAGATAAAAGCTAGAGGGTAGAATTTGCTCAGGTTTCGCCTCAAAAATAAACCTTTGCCCTGTGCACCCAGGAGTCCGGCGAGGCAGGCCCTGCTTTGCACACTTTTCCACTTTGTTCCATCTTGGCTGTCAGCCTTGTTTTCAGTGTTTTCTGCATGGGGCACACGACTTCTAAGGGATCTGCTCTCTGCACAGATCTGAGCTCAAGAGCCAGCAGGTTCAAGTGTTTTCTGCCAGTCTCTCGGCCTCCCACTGCCCACCTTGCCAGTGCCAGTCACAGCTGTGAGATAGAAAGCAGGACAGGAAGTGGGATGTGTCTTTCCCATTTTGGATTCTGTGTGTGTATCGGTGTGGCCCAGGTGGGGACAGAAGCCCACCCCACAAAACAGGGAGCCAGTGAATGGCCACACCCAGCTCCTTTGTCTTTTGGGAGCCCCGTTGTTTGCATTCCCCTGTTGTTTGTGGGGCGTGCAGAGAAGTGGCACCCTGCAGGGGGTCCGGAGCCCCAGGGGAGTCTCAGAGGCCAAAGGCTTCACTCTGCAGCACCAGCGTGCACGCACGTCGGTAAGGGCTGCATTGGCGCGCCATGCTCTCACTGAACACGTTATTAAAACGGCTTCCTGCAGAGTACTTCATCCCTGGGACATACGTCATGTTCCGCTGCTCCTTGAGGGGGAGGGGAAGTTAGAGGGAGAGGAAGCAGAAGAATGTAGGGCATGGCACAGATTCCCAACTGGCGTCTCAGCAGAAAACGTGGTCCGCGTTTCCCATGTGCCCCCAGCCCATCTGCTGCCACACTGACTCCCGAGGTTGTCAGACGGACTCTCAGCTGAAGCAGGGCAAGCTTAGCCCAGGGAGGAAGCGCCCTGCCCGACACTGCCCGGGGTTGGTGGGCCCAGGTTCAGACCTTGTCACATGGCTCCTCCTGAGGAGCTTTTAGCTCACCTGACTCTTGTGGGCTGGCCAGAACCTTCTAGGCTCCTGAGTCCTCGGCATCGTCCAGTTTGCCAGGGCCCACTGGCAGACCGGCAGCGTGGATAGTGTTTTAAAGTAAGACGTGCAGGACACGTGCACCCCAGCGACTCCCTCTTGCGTCCCCCTTGGCCTGCTTCCCTGATCTGTCTCGGCTGCCTCGCCCTTGAAGGCAGACAGGTATGAGACCCCTGCCGCCCATGGAAGGCTGGGAGATTTTGGAGTGAGCGACTTCCCCCCGTTCTGCTGCTAAGGAGGCGAGCGGCCTCGGGCAGAGACAGTAACTCCGAGCCCTGGTGCTCCCCCTGCGTGTGGTGGGCAGAGGGGTGCTGACCTCTTGATGCTGGGGTGCGAGACGGGATGGTCTGTGGGAGAGCGTGTATCCCCTTGTCCAGATGTGTGTGAAGTCAAGAGCAGGAGCGGGAGGATCCCTACAGAAACCCTGCGGACGTCAAGCTGACTCTTCGTCCGTCATCTGTCCCTCCACCCACCCACCCATCTTGTACATACACATCGGGCCCTCAGGAAAGGCAGGTGATTTGCCTGGGGTCATGCACAGAGAGGCTGCAGGCAGGAGCAAGTGTGCGCTGTGCTCCCCTCCCAGGGTCAGGATGTCCCTGGGGAAGGCAGCGTCACCCCCCACCATGGATACTCAACACCAGAAAGCCCCACCTCCAGTGCACCTGCTGCCCGGCCGCCCAGGAGCTGACGTGCAGGTGCCTCTGTTAAGGGAGGCAGCAGAAGCCGGGTCCCCCAGGTGCTGCACTCTGGGCTGAGGGGCCCTGCCTGGGGGGGGCCGCAGTGCCTGGCTGTGCTGAAGGTGACAAGGTGACAGCTCCTCTTCTCTCACTTGCGGCTGGCCTCCCTGTCCCCAAGGCAGGCCCCGGATGACAGTAACGACGCTGCCCTTGCTGCCACTGCTCTCTGTTGGGTGGGGGTTGGAGATTGTTTCCCCGGGGGTGGGGGAGGAGGTGACACTGGGATGACTCCAGGGACACAGACTGTGTCCCTCAGAGGGGCCTGCATTCAGCCCATGTCTTTTTCATCCTTTTGCTGTGTACCGAGCGCCTACCGACTACTTTGTAGCTCTGGGGATAGATTACATTTTTATAAGAAGGGGTGGGGATACCTTCATGTAGCAGAGAGGATGAAGAAGGGGTGGACAGAGAAGTCGTATCCCCCAGGTGGTGAAGACCCTGGGAGAGCAGGGGGTGCAGCGTGGGGGGCTGGGGAGCCCCCAGTGCTGTTTCCCACCAGGGTCCAGGAAGGGCCTCTCCGAGGGAAGACGAGGTGACTGTTGATGGGAAGGGTGCTTGGGTGGATGGAGCGGTCAGTGCAGAGGCCCCATGTCAGGAACAAATGTGGCCTCCCATAGAGAGCTAGGGGCCCAGATCCTACAGGACCTTGGAGACCGGGACAGTGACTTCAGGATTTATTCCAGGTGGGTTGGGAAGCCACCGAGGGGTTGGGCAGGGCTGGGACATAACCTCCTTTATGGTTTTAAAACTTCATGCTGGATAGGAATGGAGAGGGGCCGGGGCGGGGGATGGGTAGCTGGACACGGAGGCAGCTGCACGCTGGCTACTGGGTGAGTGAAGAGAGCTACTGATGCTCATCCAGCACCCGGCCAGCTGGGCAGGTGCAGGGAGGCCCCAAGTTGCTCATGCTTTTGTCTGAGGCAACAGGCAGCTTTATCTTCAAGTCAACATGTATCGAGGGCCTACTATGTACAGGCCGCAGGGCTAAGCAGGGAGGTTGGGAGGGGCCGTGCACAGATGAATGAGACCTGGAGCCAGCCCTCAAGGGCCAGCGTACGTATAGGCCATGATGTTATGTGTCCGCGTGCCCTCCCTCTCTCTCTTCTCTTGGTTACTTGGATCTATGCAGAGCACCTACTTATGTGTCACACTGCCTTGGGCAGTATCTCAGTCCTAGCACCAGCCAGCCATGTGACCTCGGCGAGTCGCTCACCCCTCCCCACCTGAGCAGCAGGGACAGCAGCAGCAGCTGCCTCCGGGGTTGCCCCAAGGGTCGTGGGAGGCATGGGTGTCATGCTTACAGGACGGTGCCCCCCAGGTGGTCAGCACGGCCTGCAGGTAGCCATTTCTAGCAGCAGAGAGGGGCTGCGGCGCAGACGTCTT